TGGAACGATGCGTCCGAAAGACTGATGGGGACGGAGGGTTGCTGTCTCGATCGGGCTCTTGTTTTCTTCCGTTTTGCCGAATCCTGTGGACATTCAATCCAAACAAAATAGCTTAATAGACAAATGTTTTGTAGTTTTAGCTGTTGCTCGCACGATACCGTATACAATCCAATACGGCAGAGCTTTCATCTCTTGCGTGCATTCTATTCTTTCGCGGGTCCTCGTCGTCGCACTCCGAGTGGGCACATTGGTTGCAAAAGAAACAAACCGGAAGTGATAATGATAATAATAGTAGAAATTGATTGGTTCCTTTGCCTCGAATGCTTTCTACAATACCGTTGCGTGCGCATCAATCACAGCGATGGTTCTAGAATAAAATTCAGGACAAGCTCCTGCTAGTGAAAGGATGTTTAGTTTGAGGCAATGGACATTAAATCTAATGGTACATTTTCTAAGGCACGTAGCGGCGTGCTGGACTTATTCGTGTTGGTGCTTGCGCATTATGCTGCGTTGCACAATGCCTTCCACTGTGAGACACACCAAGAACTCTTTCTTCCAGTTAGTGCAAGGAATCGACCGATTCGTTCATGACCAGGGTGTCCTGGGTCTTTTGCCGGATTCGAACGATTCGCGAATTCACCGCCGTGGACGAAGCGGACTTGGCAGCGGTAGTAGCAGTATCAGCGGGAGTCGTGGAGGCTTGCTTTTGCGTCCGGGGAACACAATGCTGGTGCCTGGACCACCATTTTCGGAGGGCGCCGTCCTTCCTGATCTTCTGCGTCTTGGGCGTGCCAGACGTTTCGGGGATGGGCTCCATGCTCAGAGCGGTCCCGGTCTTGTGGGGAGCGCTCAGAGAGGAAGGCGAAGAATGCGATCGCGCCTGTTGTGGATGATGCTCGTGGTCCTGGCTGTAGCTGCTGCTGGTGCGCTGCACCGAATCGAAGGAATCCGTGCTGGCAGAGGAAAGAAGCTCCGAAATTCCCTCGATGTGATGCTCTTGCTGTTCGTCTTGGTCCAGAAAAATGCTGTGGTCCGGGTTGATCCGGGCCCGCTGCGGGGGCGGGGTTCCGCAGTGCCGGACCAGCCACGGGTGTGCCATGGCCTCTCGGGCCGTGGGGCGCTGCTCCGGATCCACGGAGAGCAGCCATTTGCAAAAGGCAATCGCCGAGGGTTCGACGCCCTTCCAGTTGTGATCGGTATAGCAGGGAGGGTATTTCTCGGCCTCCATGAGAATGTGGACCGTCTCCTTCTCGTCCCGGCCCTGGTAGGGCAGGGTCTTGGATAGTATGAGATAGGCAATGACCCCTGCCGACCAGACGTCGCACCTGGCATCGTAGGAGTCTTGCGTGAGAACCTCGGGTGCCACGTAGTAGGGCGTCCCCAGGCAGCCCTCGACCCTGCCCGTTTCCGGATCGATCGTCGTGGACAGGCCGTAGTCGATGATCTTGATGCCCCGGAGACTCTCGCTGGTGCCCTTTCGGTTCTTGGCGGTGATGTTTGGGTTTCGCTTGAACATGAAATTGGAGGCCTTGAGGTCCCGGTGGACGATCCCCGTCACGTCGTGGCAGTAAGATAGGCCGTCGAGGATGTTTCGGACCATCCAGGCGGCGTCGGCGTTGCGAAAGGAGCTCCTCTGTCGCTTCATCTCTAGGATGGCCTCGTACAGCTCGCCACCCTCGAGCAGCTCGGTGAGGATGTGGACCTCCTCGCTGTCCTCGAAGGTTCGCTCGAATTCGAGCAGGTGGGGATGGCCCCGGACGGACTCGAGGTTGGAGCATTCTTCCTTCAGCAGCTTCTCGTCGTCGAGCGTCGAGCGTGGGATCGTCTTGCAGGCGAGGACGGAATGCGGTCGGAAGAAGGACCAGAGCCCCGCTTCGCGGAAGCGTTGGCGGGATCGAAGCTTGCGGACGGTTCCGAAAGACCCTTCCCCCATCATTTCCTTGAGGACGTAACTGCTCTTGATTTGATCGAGGGCCCTCCGGGGACGATCGCTCTTCCCCGAGTGGGTCTGCGGGGAGTTCCTCGATTTCCGGGTGCGGTGGTGGCTGTTCCGGGAAACACGGTTCTCGTTTCGGACAAAGTAATTCATGGTGAGAGACTGGAGTACACTATTCGTACACAGTATTAATGAGGTGTATTTCGGTTGATACGATTGATTTGATTTTGTTGCTGTGGCTGTGATCTCCGATTGTCAAGTGTTGTTCGGAGTAGAGTCCAGCCGTGTTTTCTCTGGCTGGCTAGGAGATTGGGTTGATTGGGAGAAGTTTGGGAAAAATAAGAAGAGATAGTATGGGACCAAAGGTTCGTTGGTAGCGGAATTGGGAATTGAGATGATTGTTCCAATTCTTTTTCGATCTGATTTTGTCGATCCCGATGTGACTCGATGAAAATGATGAATTGCCGCTTCTGTTCCCATGTTACATAATAAACGCTTTCAAACATGGAAAGGCGACGTCAAACTGCCTCTGTGGACGAGAGAGTTTGCAGAGCCTTTGGTTTCGCCGAATGCCTTGTTTGCGCATTTCTATGTACGCCTAGTACAGCGGTATACGACACCAACTACCAACCATTGGACAGAGGAGCGGTGTTAACCGCCACATGTGTCACAAATATTGTTCTTCGCTGATTGTCAATTCTACTTTCGTTAAGTAATGATCGGTTGGCAACGGTACGTTCGTTTCCGTAAACGCGACCACGAAGAATGTCCATGATTCTCTTTCAGCCATGCGCTATGCAGAGTCAGTTAGTGAGGAAGCAAACGAAGACGGCCAAGGAACAAAGGTATCACGCGTTCTGTCCAATTGAAGCCACACGAATGGAACTCCCTGTCCTCCAGGAGCCAAGAAGAGAAGACACATGGTCCGTACCATGGAGTTCGTACTACTCCTACAGCCTTAGGTGCCAAAAATTCGTCGAAGAGGCGAATCGTACCGGCGCGCAGATTTGACCAACCGATGTTCACCGTCGCTTGTTGTTCCGAGGTCTAAAACTTCAAGACGTATCGTACGATCAATGTACGAGCTGTACAGTATCGTACGGTACGGTGCGAACTTACTGCTGTAACTACTCATCCAAAATTGATTTTCCCGTTTTGAATTTTTATGCCATTCATGGTGTAAAGTATGTATCATATTTACAATAGATATGAATACATATAGATATGAAACGTAATCATGCTTTCGGATTAGAAAATTTGGATTTTTGAAATTGAAGGTACGACGTACGTACCGGTGTGAAGTTGGTGGTACGAGTAGTACGTACGTAGTTTCCGTACGCTACGCTTTACAGATTACCGACGGACTTCCCGTTACTGTAATGTACTAAGTACCATACCATACGTTGGTTGTAGAAGTATCTTTCGTTTTTTTCTTTTTTGGGTTCCCGATCTTGAAGCCAACATTCGAAAGACTTGGTGCGGTGCGTTCATTTTGTGCTACACATAGATGGACAAACATCAAAACGAACGAGCCTGTCCCCGTCTTGAATCGCAATCATGGCCTTTCGTGGAAGGACGAGCGGTGGTGTCTCTAGCTGTGGCAGTGGCAGCCACGGGACGAAAACCAATCTCGACGAAGCTTCTCGGATCCTTCCAAGACCCGAGCACAATCGCGAACGGAGGCAAAAGCGCAAGCACACTTTTTGTGGTGTTCCCGTGTTTTTCTTTATCGTTGCGGTGTGGCTGGAGCTCCAGTGGAACGCGAACACGCACACACACTGCGAGGGATTTCCCATTTCGGCGAGGGGGGCCCGGCGTTCCCACCACGGCCTAGTTGGTTCGAAGCCCATGGGACGCTCGTGGTCTGGCCTCGGAGCAACAGCGACCGAACGCGACAACTCGTCCCACTCCATCAGCAGCATTCTCGACCCCGGGGGCGAAGGAATCCCCGAAGGGTGTTCGACGAAATCAACAACTTTTTCGCTGGCACTTTCGCCGACCAAACTCTCGAAACGAAAGCGTGCGTGGCGATTTCTTTCGCAAACTCTCTTGGGTAGGAGCAAGCCGAGTGGGTTGGAAAACAAAGAAGCAGCATCAACAACAACCACAACCACAACCGCGAGAACGGCCAGAACCCTGGATTTTGCCTACGACTACGACATCATTGAAATGGAGGCTCCTATTCCTGCTACTGCCGCCTCGACTTCCAGCGGAGCACAAGAACCCACGACTACCGGAGTTCTTTTGGTTCACCCAATCGGAGTGGGCATTGGCAGGTGGTACTATCAGCGATTGGTGCGATCGCTCCTCGCAAAACAAACAGGATCGTCGAGCGGAACCACTTCCGGCAGCAACCACCAGCGCCATCGAATGGTCCTCGTGGTGGCCGATTTGCTGGGGAGCGGGAGTGCCTGCAACGCCACCCTCTCGGAGGACGGAGTTGCTCCGTCAGATCCTCCTATTGTGGCGAACAAGTTTCCCTTGTTCAACATATCCGACTGGACCGATCAGCTTGAGGACCTGATGGGTACGATAGAGAAGGATCGCGGTCCCTCCAACGAGATCGACCGGTGGTGCGTAGTCGCCAATGGCGGGTGCTCCCCGATCGCCCTGCAGCTCGCGGAACGGAGCCAGAGGCCGGGCTGGAACCACGCCGGGGTCGAGAACCTCGTCCTGTCGTCGGTCCCCCGGCTCCCATTCTTTTTGGAAAACCCGGAAAACGATCCCCAAAAAGTCGCAAAGTCCTACCGGACGCTGTCGGGGATTCCCGGGTCGCTCTTTTGGTGGTACTCCTGCCGCAACGAGGGAGCCTTCATCCAGTCCTTCAGCGAGAAGAACCTGATCGCCGATCCGTCCAACCTCGGCCCATTCTGGCGGTCCAACTGCTACCGGACGGCCGTCTCCCACAACAAACGAGGAAGGTATGCCACATTTTCATTCCTGGCGGGTACCCTCCAGGACGGATGCCAGACGAGCCTGGATGCGGTCCGTGGGACATCCCTAAGGATCGATATCATCAAGGGAGCCGACACAAGACGCAACCGTGCAAAGAGCTGGTTTTGGCAGAAGAAAAAGAAGAAGAAGGACGCCGACACAACAGAAGAATCCAGGCAGCTCAATGCTGCAGATTTTCCCAGCGCTGATGCTGTAGCTGCAAATGTCACTGAAACAGAGCAAAAAACCAATAAGACCTTTCGTGAATATGTCGAACGAAACGGCAATGGTGGCCGGGAAATTGTCATCGGGGGAAGAATCAGCCTGGCGCATGAAGATCCGGACGGCTATGCCGATGCCGTTCTCGAATTTCTGGATTCGGAAAGCACGTATGACGAATAGTTGGAAACGATTTCGAACCTGTTTTTACTAGCGACAACTATGTTTTGTGCCACACAACAGTCCTGGCAAACACTGGGAAGAATACACACGGTTGGTTCACTCTGGTGCGATCTTATCAGAATTCAAACGAACGTCTTGCTGTTGGCCTCCTACACTACACAACTTTGCCAAGGCACAAGCCGGGTTTTCTTAAACAGTCCTTGCGTGAGGTCAAACGTAAATCGTAGTTCAAAGCACTGGAGACAAAAAACGAGACCAGTTGTTCGTTGAGGTGGAAGGACAGACAGCAGTAACAAAGATGCTGCAACGAGTAGGTAGTAAGGGTATCTGTTATGGAGTTCTCTATTGGATGATGTAATCCATGACCACATCAATCGTGGGGTCTCGGAGTTACACCAGATTTAAAGCACCAATTGTAAAAAGTAATACTAGGGATGATGCCTTTTTCCAAAAGAGACATAACACGGTTTATCACCATGCGACGAACTTGGGCTGCTGCTCCAATACTTTTCGTCAGAAAAACAACGTACAAGAGCGGGTCACGACCTCCAATCAAAATGCGAAAGGCATATTGCAATACTGCTATTAGCACTAATAGTTCCAATGTCTTGTAGGATTACTAATACCGATAGGTTACAGTACTTTGTTATACCAAAAAGCAGGCGGACAGCTCGGGATACCAATAGTCCCTCTTGTTAAGGTCGTTGGCAAAAATGAACGGAGCATTATCAAAATTAAGAATTATCATACCCGGATGCCAGCAGAGCACCAAAATTACAGTAATCAAACGAAAACAAATGCCTAAGCAATGCTATTCGGAAGTTCAACCAGGAATCGTCAGACATCCAAGAACAGAAATCATCAGAATAATATCGAGAGAAAATATCTCCCGGACCAGCACAACGAATGATAATACGGATCTCGTCATTTTCATGTACCGGACGGTACAGCTAAGATAAGAATGAGAAAAAATGAGAAGATCTATGACTCGGAGTCTCGAATAATCTGAAATATTTAATAACCCTTGTGACAGCCACTAACGTACAATTATTGATGTGGTACTGTATTATTTTATTTGATACGACAAAGTACGTACTCCGATTCATTATTTGCAGATATATGAGTCACGAAATCACCTGTGCATTGATTGTAGAAGGGTTGTAGCTTACGTACGGTAAATTAATAAGTACTGTAATCCCGAGATCTTGGGGCTTATTACTGAATCGACCAAAAYCGATCGAAACTATTAACGACAAGGGTGTCACAGGATGCCATCTCATTTAAAATTTTGGGGAGAGAACGAACGTTTTCGGTCKTGGGTTTCCTTTTCTCGAAACCGTTAGCAACCGACGGCTAGTCTTGAAACTAGTACGAAGGTGCACCAAAAAATCTTTGTTTTTGGTAAAATACAAGACCGCTCTCGGTTCTCATAAAAATTAATTGAACAATCTTTTCAGAAGCCACAACTGCAAGAAAAGGTTAAGAAAACGAAGTCAACCCACGCCAACGAATCAACCGAAAACAACGAAAATGATGATCTTTACCAAGAAACACAATGGTCCCTTCCTGTCAACAACAGCGATAGTCTCTGCTCTGTTGTTAGTTGTGCTCTTAGCACTTTCCCAAGCTTCGGTCGCGGTGGCTACCGAAGAAACATCGTCGATGTCAGTTTGCTTGAGTCTCAACAACAAGAAACGAGAGTGCCGGGACCACCCGGAGTGCCACTGGGTGATCCACCGCTTTGCTACTAAAAATCCCGACGAGTTAGCACGAACAGTCCGATGCGTCGATGCCATGACGGACGAACAATGTTCCCCGTTTACAGACAAGGAGAATGCCAAGATTAAGTGCCGATTCAACGGGTGCAAATGGAACAGGGAAGATAACACCTGCATTGGAAGACTCRACCACGTCAACAGAGTCRACAATGAYGGCGGAGACTTGAGTTTGGAAGACCTATTGAAACCCGAAAAGAACCTCGTGGACAGACTCTTTCTAATGGAATTCATCGGAACAGACGCAKCAGAAGTCRAGACAGCCATCATAGAAGCTTACCCACGGTATGCAGGTGAGGGCGGCGTCTACGTGGTCGCTGTCTGTACCCAGAATATGGGTTTGTATGTTGGTGAACCCGCCTGTATCCAGAGGAATTACAACGTGCATCGCATTAAGCTGATCGTCGATGCAAACAACAAGGTCAACGAAATTATTTTCGGATAACAGTGATTGGAAAGCAACCAAACCAAAGCTACACTAATATCTTTCGATGATTCGTCCCATTTGTCTGTTGACAGCAAGTGATTAGACGAGTTCAATAAATCGAAAGAACAAGGGTCAATCGGATCCTAACATAAGTTTTCGGAGACGATGCGAACCCAAATGCATGTTATGAATATACATTACACGATAGAGTTTACACATACACACTTAATAATATTAAAATATATTATATACTGAACAATACCAACAATGTATGGCGCTGTAAATGAAAGAGAGGCCGAAAAGACTAATTTGGTCCAACGACATCCATCGGGCAGTTCGCGTGTGCATTCGAAATCAAGGCAGACACACGGACGGATTGTTGCCCGTGTGTAGTTCCACAAACAAGTGAGCAAGCACTGCCCGGGGAATGAAAGAAACGCAACAGAACCCAAGGGACAGAGCAGAGAGACACCGAAGTACCGAAGTACACAAAGTATGCCCTTGAGCATCGACAAAGAATAGGCATTGTCCGTCTGCGGGCTTGGAGTTTGAATGGTGCCTCTCGTGTGCAAATCAAGCATGTGATTATTCATTATGAATAGAGCCTCAAAAAGAGCTGATCAAGAGGCAGCCAAAGAAACTATTAACAAGCCATTGAGGCAATTGGTACCAAACCTAACCGTCCTTGGGTGCGCTGCGCTACTCGAGAACGAACTGGTTTCGTTTCCATACCTATGTTCGATGTACCCTCGCAACTTCGGTATGACACTGGCTACAGCAGCAAGTGAGCTAACTGGTAAGTTGCGTTGCTTGTTCTTCGATGGGAGTGAAAAACATGCACCATCCGAAGGGCTCGCTTTCGTCGAGAAATGACTCGTCGGGATGGGGGTCGTGCACCATCTCAAAAACCGCCCCCCGGTGGACACATTCGGGACCCGACACACTGGTTCTCGCTATCACCACGTGTCCAAAGGGACCCCTGGGGGACTTTCCCCGCAACAGGCAGAGGCGCCGCCGTTGGCCGGAGGGAGGCGGGCCTTGCGTCCCGCCGACGCCGGAGCCCTCTGCGGGGAGTTTTCGTTTTTCACAGGAGTAATTACGATTGCGGCAAAACATCTCAATCGCGGATTCGTACCCCTCGGGGCGCTCGACAAAGTTGGGAACGTCGGCCAGGTCGGACCCAAAGACCGAAGCTACGGCGGCCTGGAGAGCGTTCCCCCTTCCGGGACGAAAGTCGTCCTGGTAGACTTTTCGTGGCAGTGGCTCGTCGACCATGGCTGTGGTCTTTCCCGTCTCTGCTGCTGCCTCTGTCCCCGGCTGCTCTCCTTCGTTTCTGTTTTTGTCTTCGTCGCTCGCCATGGTCCCGTTCGTTCATGTGGTTCGTATCTATCTATTGACAATCTATTGACAACGACTGCTCGTCGCTCAGATAGAAAACATCATCCTGAGTTACGGTACCGTACGTTCTGTACAATACTTTCAAATAAGGAGTAGGTACGTACGTACCTTACAGCGTACGGCATTCTACAGCAGCCCCCTGTAAAACGCCTACCGTACGGTACGTGTACGGACCATGGCAAGTGGCAAAACGCAAAACACATTGCAAACATGATTCCGTACTGCACGTACGTTCATACGTACGCACCCTTTCCGTTCCATACATAACCAACATGCCAACTACGGAAATACTACAAATCCGCACAACAGCGCAGAGAACACACATCGTCGATACAATCTATCCGAGGAACACCGACTACAGGCAAACCATCCGGACGCCATGGTTGGATCAAACCGCGGAGCCAAGGTCTTCCGCGCCCACCTCGACGATGTCGAAAACCTGAGCTACGGAAAGGGAGCTAAAAAGCAACGGGGAACGGGATCCCGCTTCACATGCCACCGGCTGAACCGAGAGGAGCGGCAGATTTTTGATCGGGCGAAGCGAGACGGATATCTCGCCGTGCGGGGGAACGGGTACCGGAAGGAACGCAAGGGAAGCCCGGTCTGGAACACGCACCGGCAGCGGTGCGACGCCCTCAAAGAGCCGTGCGTGGTAGTCGAGAAACGCTCCGATTCCGACCGGGTCGTCGTAGACCTTTCGACGCTGCGCGTCCCGGACGACGCCAAACTCGTGGAGTTCCTCCTGGAAGAGGTCTTCAAGCCAAACTACCCGGAATTCTTCGAGGCAATTCTTCTTGCCGGAATGTCAAGACTCGGCGGTGATCGGAAGGGCGGACAAAGCAGCTGCGAGGAAAGCGACGGCCACGAGGGTTCGGTATCCCTTCCAAAGGCGGACAACACAACCCACCGGCCGATCGACTGGGAAACGGTGGCAACGAAGCCCATCTGGGGTGTGGATGAGCGACTGATCGCGGTGTCTTGTGACCGAGACACGGCGAAATCGATCGCCAGGGACGTCCTGGGCCGGTGCGGATCCGTCCGCTTTGCGATGCTTCTGGCGGACGCGGAAAACACACCCGTCGAAATAACCACCGAAAACATTCCGGCCGAAGGGGACCCAACACCGACGGTGGTGTCAACGCAACGAGAGGAGGAATGGTTGGAAGTTCCAACGGAGACAATGCTTTGTGGGGTGGGGTGCGACGACAAGAAGCAACGACGACGAATACCAGAATCCCTTGGGAAAACGTCGTGCAATCACGCGGACCAAATCAATGCCACTGAATCTGTGGACACAGATTGTATTGATTGGAACGATATCTGAGGGATTCGGTCCGGGCAATTCAAATTCTAGAATAGCAGGGGAGAGTCACAAGGAAAGGACGATGGTTTCCAAATACGTCTGAAGAAAAGTTTTTGATCAAAGCAGGAGGAGCAGGAGGTCCATACGAGATTAACCTCTCATTTGCATGCCAAATAACCTGCATCAATTATTTTTCACAGCTCATTTTTGTGAATACTAGAGTTCTAGTAGAATTACTGTTATACGATTACTGACATTTCTAAATGTTCAATGGTGCCATGTCGATCATCATGACGATGCGGTTGCTGATTTTCTTGCTTTGGAAAGAAGAACATCATCCTCAGCACTAGCATTCGTGATGTTCTTCTTTCCGTACCACCACCATTTTCTTTCACCATGATGGTGTAGTAGTACTGCCTTTATGATCAACTGGWAGCCTCTTGTACTAGCTTGGTAAACCTGSTGGTGGAGTTGRCTGATTAGTCCAGAGGAAATGCTGATGATGTGCAGTCTTGTTGTATCGTAATTTCAGTCCTAGTTTAGTCACTAATGATTAGGGGGTGAATCTTGCATTCAACAGAATATCCGGGGTCGGAAATTATGATCATAATAAAAGCGACTACGTACCGTACGTACTCGTACGTACAAGACTGTACGAACCGTTACGCACTCGCGCATTTTTTCGAACTTTCAGGTACCGTACRGTACGGGATACTCGTACTCGTGGTCGTACGGACCGTACAAACGGTACGTACAGAAACCCAAGACAAACTTGGATGCCCCACGTCTTGCCGAGTTGTGTCCCTGAGAAGGTTCTCTTTCCAACAGGCTTTGTACCCGATGCATACCCCGTAACGGTGCGGGAATGCATACAACACGGTACTGTACGACTGAACACGAAGTCGTAGTCGGTACAATTGCTTGCCAGCATCGAACTGTGACCCGTGCTTCTTCTTGTTGGAAAAAACGGGAACGAATACGGGCAGCATGGTAGATRCGAAATCTTTCGTGATCCAACATCGCACCGCATCATACGGTACCGCACGCATCAGGTATCGCCCCTAACATTGTAGTACTGCGCACGATCAATATCTTGTTGCTTGGTTTTGAAAGAAACTCATCGTGGCTCGGTTGAAATTGTTTTCTGTTCTTGGGTCTTGCTGATAGTCAGGCTCGTCTTTCGCGCGAGAGGGCATGCCGTTTCACACGCAACACACTACTGCCAGGAAGTGGTTGTTGCGCTCTGTCTGTCAATATAGTACCGCTCAAGGACATGTCGCCGGTCGGTGATCTTGTCGCGACCAATAGTCGAACGATTATTGTCCATGGTCGGAGGTAGAACGATCCTACATTACGCACGGCTGCACAACTCCGGCACGATTCCAAAGAAGCAATGACGGCAAGATTCCAAACCTTGGCAAGATCGAATCCAATCTTCTGGCTTTGCGACTGCTCTTGTTCTCTCGAACGATCCAATCCAGCAGTGCGATGTTAGATAGAAGGGGTGCCACACGGGCTGGTCCTACGATCGAATACGTGGGATCGGAGGACGACGAGGTTCCAAAAAGCTGAAAGAAAGCCGCAAATRGCAGGCTGCTTTGTCATTCTCCCCGATCTCGAGTGTTTGGACTGTCTTCTCACAAAATCGATTTTCACTCATCCGAAAAAGCAAATCCAAACACCAATACAGTACAATCGCACATTGTGCCTGATCATTGCATCCCCAAACTTCTATCCATCCAATCCAATCCAATCCAATCCAATCCCATCCGATCTTATCTCACCATGACCAAGCCAACACTTCTCTCGTGCTTTCTCCTCCTTCTCGCCGGTTCCTTCCGGTACGGCACGGCAGCGAATCTCCGGGCCAGCAACATCGGAAGCACCTCGCTTTCGTCCGAAACCGTCCGCGACGAAGATCTGATGAGCATCCGGTCGTATCTCGTGGTCGGCCTCGACGGCTACGCGCTGGATGACCTCGACGGGATGACTCCCGAGAAGCAAGCCGTGGTGGAATGCGCCTTCCACACCGCCTTTGACGAAGTCCACGGGGACAAGGACGGGATCTACCTTGCGGGGCAGGAGATCGTCGCCACCGACGAGGACCCGGGCAACGATGCCGACTACGGCGACGGACCAGAGGATTCCAAGCGAGCCAGCTTCATCGACTGGTCCAAGCGCCGCAAGTACAGACGCCCCCGCTACATCCCCGTCCGTCCTCTCACTCCCCCGCCTCCCCGGCGGGCGCCCCTGTACAAGCGAAAAACGAAATGGGCTACCTATTGGAAAGTCGACGGTGGGGGCATGTGCCGTTTGTGTAAGTCTGGTGTCAACAGCACGGCAAACGATAGGAATGAAAGCTGGGAGTTTAGCTTTGCAGTGCGATTGCAGCGAGATTGCGATTTGGATTGAATGCATGCGTATCCGATTGCTTTTGGTGTTGCATTGTTGTTGTGGCAATGGGTGGTGGATCTGCTGCGTTGCCTCTTTGCCTGTTACTTTTCATCAGTGGCTTGTACTGTGCCGAACTCCTCACCGCCCTATCTTTGTGTTTTACAAAACGCCAATATCACACCAATCGAAAAAGGTCCCGACGACGATGCTCTGAAAGTTGTCTCCGGGTCTTTCCTGCTCAATACCTACGACACCAAGAAGGCCAAGGACGAAGAAATCGCCTCCGATTATGTCTTTGGTGAGGCCAGCATGAACGCCATTGCCGATGCAATGCGCAAGCATCTCATCGAAGGGACCTGTGTGGCAGAGGGAGACGATTATTTTGAATACATCGAGCGAGTGGACGTGTATCCCATCAGCCAGGCCGAATTCGAATCCACCGTCGCCGCCATTGCTGCCTTCAAGGAAACGAGAAAGGAGGCTGTCGCGAGCCATAACGAGAACGAGAGAGAGGCCCTCGACAAGAACGAAGGCTCGTCTYCTACGGGACTCGCCTCCCCGCCTCTGGTGGAAGCATCTCTTCCGTTTTACTACGGTACTTTGGTGGCTTCTGATGCTGCCGCAACTTCCGCCAGCAGACACTTCAGGATTGGTTTGTCGGGCATCGCTTGCGGGCCCTGGAACAACCAAGACCTGCTCGATGTGAACTCTGCGCTCCACAACTCCATCAACTCCCTCGAGGGTCTCRGCGACAAGGGCCATACCATCGACAAGATCGTCGGTGGCGCCACCCACCGACCCCGACCCCGAAACTACACCTGGGGGTGCGGCTTCGATCTGTATTCCAGGCTGGACGTGGCCGGGGAAATGAGCGATTCCGCCCTCGACGACATTGGCGACTCGCTATGCTCGGAGCTCTATTGGCTCGGGGGCAACAGGTTCGAGCACGCCATCGACTGCGGCCTCGAACCCCTCTCCGTCACCGAATACAACGAAGCCGTGGCGGTCACCATCGCAGCGGACGGCAACGCCGCGAGTGGAGGCATGCTGCACCACAATGGTGCTGGTCCCTCTGCCACCACTACGCAGGAGTAAAGGAACGACGGCAGCACAACCGCTGTTACCGATCGAACACCATGACGACTTTCCTTTGGGCTCGGACAGCAGGCCGTCCTTCGATCCTTCCATCCTTGCTCCTAATTTTTCTTACTATCTTCGCACACAACGATGCCGATACGCATGATATACAACTTACTACAAACTACATACTACACACTACATATTACATATTTCACAAAAGCAACGAATACTCGGCTGCAGCACCAGCACCTTCCGCCTCTGTCGAGAAGAAACCTATCCGAGATGATTGACATTCCTTGGCTTGTTGGGACGAAATTCTTTTCAATACATATTTACATCTACATAATACTTCTATTAATCATATTTGCATTCCACATGAATTCTTGCTACTGTAGTACACTACACAAAAAATGTGCCCTCGTAGGGTTTAGATGAATCGAAGCACTGGTAAGGATTTCTCAATTCGGGGGACGGAAGGTATCTTTTTTGTTTTGTTGTCGAAACGGGGGTCATTCACACTTGCGAGCTGATTCGCTGACTGACGATGACTCACTCGTTCGCTCCTCATTGGCTTTGTTTCCCTGACCGCGAGGSAGGTGCCCTGCTTGGATTCAGATTTTGGGAGTAACATCCTTTCGTTTCATTCGTACCAGTGTTCAGGGGTACGTACCAATGAGTACCGTTCGAGCTCGTAGTAGTGGTGGTAACGTACCGTACGTACTACTACGAGTTACCATACACAACTCGTACGAAGTATGTTCGACATAGTAAGCTCAAACGAAGGAAAGTTCTCGTACTGTACCTTCGTCGGATTCGTTTTGTTGGCACACCCTTCCAGACTGCGTCGCACTGAAGCCAGAGAGAATACGATGGAKGGTGGTTGCAATCGGTGAGGGGATCCGTTCCGTGCCGACCCGTTTCATTTCATCTCGCCGACGTTGCGCCACAGCGAATGCGATGGCGTCGCACTCGCTGCCGCTGTCCGATGCCATCGATTGCTGCCACAGCACACCGCAAGAACACGGGTGCGAACAGCAGCGYGAGTGCGAATACGARTATGAATACGAGTACATCGATGTGGTGTGGCTRAAACGCGATGTCCGCTGGACCGATCACGGCCCGCTGTCGGAAGTCGCCACGGGAGGCTCCCGGGGATTCGGTYGGCAGCCAAAAAACGGACAACAAAAACAACAAGCACTTCCGGCGCCACGGGTTCCGAGAAAGTTTGTCCTTTTGTATTTGCACGAACCCGATCAGTTGAGGGTTCCCTCGGTCCACGGTTCCCATCTGCGGTTCGTCCACGAAGGCCTCGTCGACATGGAGGAGCGGTTGAAAGAATACCAAAAACAAACCCCCGGCGAAACTSGCCACCACCAGGAGTCGGGAGCAGCCGCGAAGGCAGCAAGCCCAGAGGGATCGGCACATCCCGACCRCGAACAGAGTGGYAGTAGAAGCCATAGCATCATCTCGCCTTCCTTCGAATACCTCACCGTCTGTCACAACACAATCATCTCGACGCTGGCTTCGATTCATTTCCGTTACCTGGCATCGTCCGTAACCATTTCTCCGCAGCAAACACGGCAAGAGATACCACCACCACCGCSAGACGGAACGACTGGCACTGGTTCCGAAAGTAAGCCGGCAGTGCCCGTCGTCAGGAGAACCTACTACAAGATTGCGAGGCTCCTTGCGCACGAAGAAACTGGGCACTGGGAGTCCTATCAGCGGGACGAGCGCGTCCGAAAATGGTGCGCCACCCGGGGCATCCCGTTCGTCGAGTTYGGCCAGACGGGCGTCACCCGGGGGCTGAGAGACCGCGACGACTATCTTTCCCGCTGGAAGGCMTTTATGGCCAAACCCCCCTACCCGAGCGGCCCCGATCTGGCKAGCTCGGAATCCTTCCGGGAACGGTTGCTGCTGCTCGACAARCTGCCGGGATTCCTCTCGTCTCCGAACGGGATCGCCGGCCTGTTCGACGACGACCACGCCGCGGCCRCGAACAACAACCCTGCGGGTTCCGCTGCCGCGATTCTGGGGGAGCTMCCGGCCGCCCACCGATCCGATCGCCCCCGGCGGGAGCAATGCGGCGGAGAAACAAGGGCCTTGGGCACCCTGCGGTCCTTTTTGTCGAGCCGGGGAGCAAACTACGCGGCAGGGATYTCCTCGCCCAACTCGTCCTGGAACTCGTGCAGCCGGTTGTCCCCGTACCTAACGTGGGGCCACATCAGCCTGCGGTGGGTCCTGAGATCCCTCGAGGAAACGAGGGACCGCCTGCGGAAGGAACAACAACGACAGAGAAAGCAAAAACTAAGCGGCAACAACCCGTGGCTCAGATCCTTACAGGCATTCGCCTCGCGTGCCCACTGGAGGTCCCATTTCATCCAAAAACTAGAAAGCGTAAGTCTATCACCAAAGATTGCGGTCATGTGCATTGAATTGAAATGCAATTCGTCTTGCTCTTATTCCTTGCCAGATGTTGGTTTGTTTGAGAAAGCACTATCGAGACGACAAGAGACAACCCACACCAAAACACACCTAGCCTAACATATTGCATCACACTCCTGCTATTTTGTTGTGAAGGAACCGATGCTAGAAAAGCGGGACCTGTGTCCAGCATACCAGCACCTGCGGCGGGGGGAGGGAGACTGGGACCAGGCCAAGTATGACGCGTGGGAGAACGGAACCACCGGGTACCCTTTTGTCGACGCGTGCATGAGGTGCCTGGTCGAGCACGGGTGGATCAATTTTCGGATGCGGGCGATGCTGGTCTCCTTCGCCACCTATAACCTGTGGCTGGACTGGAAACGGATAGCCCCGCACCTGGCGAGGGTGTTTCTAGACTACGAACCGGGGATACACTACCCACAGCTACAGATGCAGKCGGGGACCACTGGGATCAACGCAATGAGGGTATACAACGTGACCAAGCAGGGAAAGGACCAAGATCCGAAGGGTCGCTTCATCCGAAAGTACGTTTCGGAGCTCAGAAAGGTACCGGACCAATACATMCACGAACCATGGAAAATGTCGGAGGCTCTGAAACAGAAATACTACCACAACCAAACCATGCTCTTTTCCTCCGTTCGTAGCAAGGATAACGACAGCGGTGACGTCCGTTATCCGGAACCCATCGTGGACGAAAAAGAGTCGGCGAGGATTGCGAAAGAAAAGCTGAACACCGTGAAAAAAGAATTGTCCACCAGGATTCAAGCCAACCAGGTGTTTCTCAAGCACGGAAGCCGAAGCCGACAGAGCAACGAGTGGAACGGTAGGACAAGAGGATCCGCGGCGTTGCCAGCAGCCATCGAAGCCCTCGGGAAACAATGCCAAACAAAGACAAGCAGTGGTGGCCGCCAGCCCAACATCCGAGACGCCTTCTCCGCCGCTGCTGTGACCGCCGCTACATCCAAGAAAATAGAGCCAAGCGACTGCGGCCCGCCAATGAACAAGGAAGTTGTGGATCTCACGGCGGGGATCGATCGCGGCCCGCCGAAACGGAGAAAGCCTTTGCCCACTCCCACAATGACCAACAAGCGAATCAAGGCCGCCCCTGTACCGATGCCGGGAACCAACGGAGCAATGTCAGCAACAGATAGTAAAAGGGGGAGCTGGAGCTGCACCGCGTGTACATTTCTGAACGAAAAACCACACGGACTCGTATGCACCATTTGTGGAACACCACGATGAAGTTTATGCTATTCTTGTCGCTGCATGATTCGCCTTTGCATGCGTGCGGAATAAATCACAGAGTACATKGACCTTAAAGAAACATTCGATTTTCAAGAAAAATCTTCGATTGGAAAAATACCATTATGTCTACATTATCCCAAGAAAGACTATTCCATGTGCTTGCATTGTCTTAAGCGCTTTGAGGATCTACATTCCAATCTATTTTTGATTGATTATGTTTCGCCAATAATTGTTCCAACTTGATTTTGCTGCTGTTTTTGCAGCTATGACCAAACGTGCTGTGGATGCCATTGTAGACAAGAACAAAAATTACAACCATGAGATGATGTTGGGAAGAAATGATAAATATGATGGGAAAACGAATATAAAAGTAACAAGGATGATTATGAAGGACTTACCACTGTCCCTTTAGATTGTCCAGGACGACGCTTTCCAGATTATCGTGAATGTATTGCGAGGTAAAAATAGCTCTTTCTGGTTCAATATTGAAGTCTCGTTGTACTAGTTTCCAAAACAGAATAGACCGGTTCTCGAACTTGCTTTTTGCTCCCGGTATTGTATCCACTCTCGACATTCCAGCGCTCGTGATAGTCCTCGATCGGATTGCACTCGGATAGTAGCCCAATCTCTTCCAGCAGTCGTAAGTAGCGTTTCCGTTGTTGGACACGCCTGCTGTTGCCTCGCTTTCTACAAGCTTGCACTCGGGCCAATCGCGAGTTACTACGTTGTGTCCCATTGGTGGCCATTCCGGAAATTCGAAACTTGGTGCTTCGCGATGGCGCACGAGCGTGTATCCCGGTGTGACACATATACTTTCTTTCACGACCCGCAAGACCCCTGGAGATTCGATTTTTGTTTTGTTCGCTGAGACGAGCGTAACTTCATTGTTCCTCCATTCATAATGAAGATTGCTGCAAATAATCTGCCATCCTCGTTTGTCGACTGGCAATGCTCTTGCTGTTTCCTGTATATCGGATAGGGAGTCGAAATGTAACCCGTCGTCCGCGTCCAATCGAGTCTCTATCAATAAAGTTCGGTTAGGGTCCAGCATTCGAGAATGCAACATCTCGATGTTTCCTGTCAACACTACTTTGCTCTCGACAACCGCTGTATCATCGGAAGCGGCATAATCCTTTTTGTTTTTGGCTAATGGTACCATGGATGTAATATTCGTGGGGGTCAGCAGCTTGGCGTTRGACGCTACCAAATAAAAATTGGGGTGGGGCTGAAGCAAGGATTGTAAGTCGGAGAGAAGATCCCGATCGAGCTCTGGGTCTGTCATAACAAACCAGATGAAGTTGTCGACTTTTTGGTTCAGCATTGTTGGAAGGCAAAAGGTTTCAAACAGTCGCAGCCGGGCTTTTCCGAGTGCGATTAATTGTGGTTGGTCTTGCATGAATCTTGATGTGACAACGTGCAGAATGTCTTTATTTTTTGCGTCATAGTATTTTCCATCTTTTAGATGCTCGTCGATGTCACTCATAGATCGATGTGATGTGTCAWAAGGGGGAAGGAAATTGACTAAGAACATGTTCGTCCCGACAAAAAACAACGTTACGCCGATTAAAGCAAACCCATTCATTAGTCTCCGCGACTTTTTGCGCCTGTATGGATTTCTGAGCATGATTGATGTTTGTTGCTATTTCAAAGTAATGGCATGACATAGATTTTCGCTTTGGTTGATGGAGGAAGTTTTTGTAGGTTTAGGTTGAAGGCTCCTTGTAATCATTTCATCATAATCCTTCCATGCGTTGGTACTCTTGCTGTACTTTCCCAGTACCTGGTACGCTATGCACCGTATTGTGACAATGATGATATAGCGTAGTAATGCATGTAACACATGTTGTCGTGCAAAATTTTAAACAACGTTCAAATTTTTTGGCGATTTCTTGTGACCAGAAAACCGGTATTTTGTTGATCCTTCATTTATTTTTAGCAATAATGATCATACAAGATAAGATCGTCTACGCCTGTAAGGAATTGTAAAAAAAGAAATTCTTTCCGTAATTTTTTGCTTGAATTCATATGCACGGTATTACAAAAAGAATACCTCCTCATGGAAATACATGTATTTTCATCATGAATCAAGCACAATGCTGGATTACATACCTGCAAAATGGAGTAAATGGAGTTCAAGATTGTATTCTGCTCCTCCCCTATGGCAGAGCCCAATTTTGTCCCTGGTAAAACTACTAGTAGTAGGTATTTGGCTGAACCAAATGAAACTCTGAAATCAAGAAAAATTTAGGAGCAGAGGATTACTTTTTTGAGGACCTCACGCACCTACTTTGACCATTTTTTTGTTTTCAACTCAGCTGAGTTCAATTGTATATACTTTATCACTTTACTATGCACTCCSCTATTTTTTGCAATAACAGTATTTTCTCTCCTAAAAGATGAATGTGTTCATCGAACAATAGAACCCCCCTCTCAAGTAGATACTAGGTACCTACAGAGTGAATCCAGTGGATAAAATTGGTAATTTCAAAAAGAAAGTATCATGGTTAGGAATGCAATGACCAGAAGTGACAAGAATCAAAAAAGGTCCTTGTTGGGGTCTTTATCAATTCGAAAAGGAATGCCCAAAAAGCRACAAGACCAAGTCACACAGCACATGGCCTGAATAGGCAGTATGCCCGCATGTTTGCAGAGATGTTGGTGCCCTCTATGCAAGAATTGGATATTGTGAAGAAGGAACTGGTTGTTGCAATGGACATGTGGGGGGATGATGTCTCGTCCTTCTGTGTTGATTTTACACCAAATGATCTTAACTCACAATTGATAGCGCCAGGGCCATGACCACCAATCCTCTTGGTGGAAGATGTGTGCAAGACAGATTTCTTTGCCATCCTGACAAGAAGAAGAAGAAGGACCCACACTACTTCAAGAGCTGYTCCCTGTAGGAATTGGATCAGTTTGAGCCTGGGTGAAGAAGTTTGCTGAGGTTGCTGATGTCAAAGATTGGGAGAAGTACACTCCTCATGATAATTGCCATTGGTGCTGCACTATCATCCTTGCCTCAGATYTTGCTGTCCCTGAGAAGATGAGGATGAGTCATCTCCAGCACAAGAGTAGCAAGTCTGCTGAGCCTTACATTCATCAAAATTCTGTAATTCAACAAGCTGTACAAGGTGTCCTTCATGGCAGGCTCCATGGTACCAAGAATAGTCCAGCAGACTCAACAACAAGAAAGAAGGCTGGAGGAGAGAATAACAAGTAAGGGTTTAATTAGAAAACATTGCCAGCAACAACAGCAAAAAAAAGTGCTTGGCATTTCACCTGCTTCTCTTGCCATTGCAGCATTGTTGCCCATTGATACAACCAAGTCCCAGCCCCAGCATCTTAAAGAGGAAATAAGTACTCCAACTAAAGGAACTCTGAAGCAACAACTTGTTCTGGCAAAAAAGGAAGCCATGAAAAGGAAGGATAAATCCAATTAGTTTGAGCAAGCAGGCATGAAGATTTGATGTCATCTTTAAGATGCCCAAGACACTAGTTTGGATCTCAACAAGAAGCTTTTGTCACTTGAGGGGGATGACTTACTACAAGAGTGGTGGAAGAAGCTAGCATAAGAAAAAATCCAGGAGGCAAATGATGAATATAATCAAAAGGAGCTTACATGGGAGAAGAGCAAAAGAGAACAGCTCGTGAATGAACTGAAAATGTCCCAGCACTTGAAAGAGATCAAGGAGGCAAATTGTGGAGTTCAGTTCTCCTATGTAATTGTGTGAAGGAAGACAAACAGCAGCATCATCCTGTGCTTCTTCTGCACTTTAAATTGCATCATAATATATTTGTTATGAATTATTTCATGGGATGAATTTGAAATCATGAATATTTTTGAGGTCAACATGGAAACAAAGTCATCCCCCGCCCCCTGCTGCTTTACAGTAGCAGCAGCAGTGCTAGTACTGGTAACAGTAGCAGTAGGCTCTTTTGGTGGAGCCTATTTGAAGTGTCTTCTTGTTTGGTAGGCTTACTACTACTACTACTACTACTACTACTACTACATGTAGACAATTTCAGTGGTGTTGTTCAATAATGCTGCTAGTAAATGTGGAAAAAGTATTCATGAAACCATATTAGTCTTAGATACTCACCAGTTGGTGCTGCTGTTGAGATAGGCAATAGTAGCAATTTTGGTAGTTTTGGTAGTAGTACTTTTCTTCTTTTGTAGACTCCATTGTGTGCAGACTGTTACTGATATAATTAATAAACAAGAACTGGTAGTTAGAATCTATGCTGTAGCATTTTTAATCAGTAGAAACCATTTTGCAAAAAATGCTACTATGCTTGACATAATCAGCATGCTGTGTTCCYGTGTAATCCAGCATGCAGTTTGTGTCCCTTCTTTATTGAAAATAGTAATACTGAAAAACATTATTGGTTTTGGTCAATTTTGATCTCATAGTGGGGAGTTCTAGCTACTAGAGCAGCAGTGTGACTCTTTGGATGCTACTTGTATCAACTACAACTGCTAGCACTGCTACAGTTGAGGCATAATGAAATATTGGGATTGTTACAACATTGAGAACAAGAATGAAAAGAAGAGGAAGAAGAAGAAAGAATACTTCAGGAGGAGGTACTAGTGGTGATGATCATCAAGCACAAGAGCAGGGAAAATGATTGCCATGTTCGGAAAATGCAAACAATTATTACTAAGAAGACTGGTGGTAGGACACCACTGTTCCTGCTGGTAGTAGGAAATATGTGGCTATTACACCATGTTTGGTACAAGAATTCAAAACAGAAAATTTGATTTATCATCACTCATACTTGAAATTTTATGATGAATAAATCTAGTAACCTTTATGGTGAACAATAACAATTGAACTTTCTTCACACATGAAAAAAAATTGCTTGATTCTTAACAAATTTGAGTATTACCCCTAAATCTACTAGAATGGCTAATTCAAATTACACTACTTCAATTTTTCACCCAACAAATCAGCCAAACACTTCTTCATGGTTATGCCTCCACCACATCTTCTTGGAGGGAGGTGCTGCCCCTTGGAGCAACTAGCATGGCATTCTTTTCCTCAGAAGTTATACTACTAGTTGTCCTGACTGTCATGTACCTCTTTGTAGAGTTCATGAAGTTAAATATGAATTTTAGTMGATTTTTCACCTCTAAATCTGCTACTAAATTAATCCTGAGAACATTGACTTGTCATAAATGACATGTGGTCCCACCAGAATAAACACTGGCTATGTTATGCATCACCAATTCATTCCTTAAACTTGTTGTTCCTTGTTCTTCTACTACTACTASTAGTAGAAGGTGATAAAACAATCAAAAAGAAGCCATAGCCATCTATGGTGAATATATCTGGACTAAAAGAAGAGCATAATGTTGCAAGAAAATTGTGGTATAATTCTTGCAATCTAACACAGCATGCAAATGTTGTTGTTGGTGATGAGTCATTGTTGCCATAACAAACATGATACAAAAATTGATATGATACTGCATCTTACTTTTAGTAGTAGTATTATATTATTACTACTAGTGGTAGTGGTTCTCATGATTTTTGAACTACTACACTCTACTTCTTTAGCAGTTTTTGAAGCAGCAGCAGAGGATGCTACTGTGGTGGGAATCTTCTTGCTGATATGCAATTGGTAGGTATGTTATTTATTCATTCCTTTGTACATACAAGTAGTAATGTATTAGTAATTGATACCTTGCATATTCTTTGGTACTTGATGATTCTTGATAGGTTTTACCCATATTCATAGTATTCTGAATTAAAGTATTCTTTGTTTCCCAGCAATAGCAAAAATTTAGGCTACTAGGCCAGTGGTAAAATGATTGGTGATTTGATGTGTAGTAATATCAAATGAAATTGAGCAGTGTTAATTTCTTGCTAAATATAACTCCATTCATTTTGCCCATTGTATGCTGCCAAAAGTTTTCAATGCATTTTTTCATCAATGTAATGTCAAGATGAGCTTCAAACATTTTTCTCCAATTGTGTTGTAAATTATTCAACTTCCATTACTCACTCATCCTCACAAACAACAAGGCATTGTGCTACAATCACAAGTAAGGTTCTATTGCTGGTCTTCCACTGACTCTGGAATAATGTACTTTTTGATGACCCTCCTTTTCTATCTACCAATCTACACCAACAGTAGCAGTAGCTTTAACTTTCCCCACCCAATCTTTAAAGGCACATTGCTTGGTTGGACTCATGTGCTACTACTCCTAATATTATCAGCTGAATAATTCTTTGGTGGAAAATGGACAAGAACATCCTCAAGAACAACATCATCAGATCTTGCAAAAAGCTTGTCCTTGCAGCACAGGAATGACCTAGTAGGATTGCACCTCCTCCAGGTGAAATACTGGCAAAGAAGGAGGGACAAGGAAACCATTCCTGTGCATTACTAGTAGTACCCACCAGAAAGAACACCAACTCGTCTTTGTGTTCCAAGAACTGGTGGTTCTGATCCTTTACTGACTACTACTAGACAGCAGTATGAATTGTAAAAAAATGATTGTTTTATGTCCATAGCACCTTGAGAAGTCAGCACAGTCTAGGTACAATGACTTTTACTATTGTAGTAGTCTTTCAACAAATTGTGTGCAGACAGGGGAAAGTTTGGTGCTTATACTCACATCAAGGATTCAATCCTTGTGAAGATATTCCAAAATTTCTTGCTCAGGATGAATATATTGATTGCTTCTTCTTGTTGGTTTTTGGCTATGCTTTGTTCCATTGATTTTGCACTACCAAGTGCTTCCTCCATCCCATTATGACCATCTCCTGTTGACTTCAATTTTGCTACTGTCCCTGTTTGAAAGTCCCCTTACTTACTTCATAATTTTTTTTTTATTTTTCTCATGAAAATACACTCTATTAGCCTCTTTTGAACAAAGATACTAGTAGTAGTAGTGCCAAATACTTGTTAGATTTGGTTCTTATTCCTAAATTTTTCTTGCTTGCTGTGATCAATCAGGACACTAGAGGAATAGTTCCTCCCATAGTTTCCTATGGCTTCTTCTAGTAGTTACAGTTTTGAAGCTTTGCCAGCATGTTTTGGCCCAAGGAACAAGTCCCATACGGCCAAGGAAAACAAAGGGTACTAGTACTGATGCGAGTCTTGGAACWATAGGTATTGCTGGAACTGGTWCGAGTCTTGGARCAATAGCTATTGCTATGGCACTCATCCAGYAGTCAMAAACGAAAGGCGCGACAAGAATTTGTGAAGTTTGGGAAACCATCTTTGCTCTGTCCGAGCAAGACGAGAGGCAGGGAGGCGCACTGCGATCAATACAAMAGGAGTTGCAAAGAAAGGGGATATCAATGGATAGATGCATCGTATCTTGAACTCTTTTCTAATTAGCCATCACATCATCAACTAMGCAAAAAAGTCGATTCGGCATCAAAAACAAAATTTGAGTCGAGAAGCGATTCGTGAAGTATTAACAGTAGTATTACATTGCTGTGGATGTTTGACGCGAGTGATCTTCCGAGGCCGAACTCTCTCTTTTTGCGGCGGTGTACCAATTTACTGACATCCGCTGCATTACAGTATGGTGTTTCATGTCGTTCGTTCGTTCGTTCGTTCGTTTGCTTTCCTTCGTCGGCCCTTGATTTCGCGTGGGAAGGACGCAAAAAGATTTTGCCTCGGTTCTTTTCGAATCTGGAACAGTCAGTTGTGCGGAGAGCACGTTGCTTTTTAACAATACAAGCAGTATTATGAATAGAGACCGAAGCGGCTCCGGGAGACACCGCGGTCGATCGAGCCCAGAACACGCTTGTGCGCCRCTCTGTTCTCTCGTCGTCGGACCACCGTCTGCGTTGGCGCCTATGCCCGCTGTTCCACCGGCAGTGTCGCTCCGCCGGCGTTGTTTTCGGTTTCCTCGGCCATCAACAGCGACAGCTTCGTCTGGATCGCCATCTCCAGGTCCTCGTCGGAGAGTGTGCAAAAGGGCTGGCGGCACGTCGGGCACGGATTCTCGATGCCCTCCGCACCCTCAAAGGCCGCCGACTTTTTGAACCGGCGGTGGGAATTGGACGCGAGGTACCGGACCATGCAATCCTTGTGAAAGACGTGCTTGCAATCGTGGTGGTTGCGGTTCTGTTCCGCGTCGTCCCCGTCGTGCTTCGGAGCCTTCCTTCCTTCCGCCCAGACGACCTCGTCGCCTGCTACGAATTCGTCAAAGCAAATGATGCAGGTGCCGCTAATCTTTGTATCCTCCGCGGGCGAGAGTCGAACCAAGGACTTGCGAGAGCTAGTCAGGTTGTTTGTGTCCAGAGACAGGTACAGAGAGGAGCTATCGTCGTTGCCGTCGGCGCCCCCGGTGTATTTCTTCTCGCCATCGCCATCGGAAGCGTTGCCTTGGCCTCCTAGTTCGATGTCGACGAAATCCTTGGAATGACCGACKATGTTTTCGCTCGTCAACGTTGTCGTGTTCCCGTTTGAATCGAAGGTTTTGTTGTACAGTTGTATCCAATCCTCGGTGGTCAGTTTTTTTATCTGCGTGGCGATTCCTTCGTTCTCGCTGGATTCGCCGCTGTTGGTTCCGTTGCCGCCGCCTCCACTGCCTTCGCCGCGCTTCTTGTCGATCCAAGTCCTAAGAAGCATCAAGAGAAAGACAAATCCAAAGAACAACTCTAATTGCATTCCTAGGACCCAATACCGCGAGCGAAAACTTTGAGATTCTGTTGGGGAACTGCTGGGAGATTCCGTAAATGTCGTCATGATGCCCACCGACGAATACGATGTCGGATACATTGTCAACGACATTGTCGGCGACGTTGTTGTCGACGGCATCATCGTCGGTGCTTCGTTGAATACTGCGTTGTTGTTGTCCATTTCTGCGCCGGGAATTCGGTAATTCGCTGACTTTTATTGTATTGTATTGTATTGTATTGTATTGTATTGTATTGGATAGTATCGTATTGTATTGTATTGTATTGTATTGGATAGTATCGTATTGTTTCCTTTTCTGCTAGGACCTTGATTCGAAACAGAGCAGGAGTGCCTTGTACTGTTTGATTAGTCTTGCAGATATTGTGTCGCTCTGTGGCGGAGAATTCGTACAACAATTCCTGGCTTCTGAGGGTTGATTCGTCGCGGTTCTACTACCGGCCCTGCGGGTGCGTACGGGTTTCGTACTAACTAACTGTTTGGAATTCCTCCCTTGCCTTGGCTACCGTAGCGTAACATCATCACTATTCTGCTCGCATGTAAAGTATCTGGGTCAATCGTGGATAAATGATAGTATCACGACGAAGAAAGTACGTAAGGTTCGTACTACGTGGAACAAGCAGCGGTAAAAGTATTTTTTACGCTTAGATCCGGGAACTGAGCTAGTGTTGGCGAAGGTTCGTACATAAGGTTCCTCGTACGCTACCTACGGTGGAGCGGAGCGGAGCGGAGCGAATCAATCAATCTGGTTCGCATTCTTCTACGGGTACGTCGTACAGTGCGAGCCCGTCGAAATCTAAATTTTTTCTAAAATTTCAATCTGTTTGGATCGACGATGGTGTGTTAAGCAGTTCTACTAAGTACGAGTGCCCGAGTGCAAGGTAATTGTGCACCCCACGGCCTTTCAACTTCAAAAACAAACAAATAGCCCCGCGAGACAAGAAACAAAACCGTTGAAGAGCGAACTTGCTCAGACAGGAATGCCCGGGAACCAAGGTTTAGTCGTGGAAACGAGTTTCCAACGCCGGATAGTTGAACTCGCCTTTGTCTGACTTATGGTGAGAGACACCTTACGTACATACGAGATCGAGTACGAACTCATAGGTACGTACCTTCAGGTGTTGCATACCTTGGGAAAAATAAAAACTAACTTTGTCTCAATCAAGTTCATCAAAGTAACCCTATTTCTCATGGACGTCGGAACAAACCTTCCGACACGCACGTGAAACTATTTCGTGTTGGGTTTTGTTCGGTTCGTCTGTCTCACACGGCCCTTCCAGCCTTCACCCATCACCATGTTTTGTAAGCATCTTCGTAAGGGAACGAATAGTACAAGTACTTGTACTCGTACACATCATCGACAAGAATTTTTGTATCCGTTCTCTCGTGCAATCGGGCTGTCGTCAGAGCCGGTGAAGAATACTCGCACTCGTACTCTTGATCATCGATACTCAGACGATACAGAACACCAGCTTCTGTCACAATAATTTTACCCCTATCAGTGCTACAGGATACAACCGACTAAGAACTCGCAATCCGTCTCTGAATCACAGGCACGTCCTATCATGACGCACAACCGCCTTCTATCGTCATCGCTGGGATCTCTCCTCCTCCAGTTTGTCGTCGTTGGAGGGGGCTACAACTCGGTTTGCAACGGATTCGCGTACGCACCGAATTTCATCACCAAAATCATCCAGGAAGAAACGGGGATCGCCGAGCCCCAGGTGCAAGCGGACGGGGGAGACAGCCAGCCATCGCCACCCGCTTCCGCCTCGGATGCCGCAATCGTTTCGCCAGTGAAAACACGGTTCCCCCCCGAACCCAATGGCTATCTGCACCTGGGCCACGCCAAGGCCGTTTCGTTCAATTTTGCCGTTGCGCGAATGTTCGATGGAACCTGCAACATGAGAATGGACGACACCAATCCGACCAAGGAAGACGAAGAATACGTCGAATCGATATTGGAGGACGTCAAGTGGATCCAGTCCGGCTTGTACGAGACCGACGGCGAAGCGGCCACGCCGTGGGAGGGAAGCGTCCGCAAAACCTCGAGCTACTTTGATACCATCTATGATTGTGCCGAGGCGCTCATCAAGCAGGGCGATGCCTACGTGGATTCCCTGTCGGCAGAGGAGATGAGAGAATACCGGGGGAGCCTGACCGAGCCCGGAAAGGACAGCCCGTATCGAACGCGCACCCCCGAAGAAAGCCTGGAGCTCTTCCGCAAGGTGCGTTCTGTTTTGGACCCTTTGACAAAAAAAAAACACAAAAGCTGTTGTTTGCTGTGGTTGCATGCATGCTGGATGCCAATTTCATACTATATTTGTTTGTTTGCTTTCTTGCTGACCGGAATCTTTGTCGTGCTTTGGAATCAATTAAAAAAAATCGTATGCTCACTATCCAAACTGCGCGATAGATGAAAAACGGAGAATGCAAAGAAGGAGAGCACGTTGTCCGTGCCAAAATTGACATGGCGTCCCCCAACATCAACATGCGGGATCCCACCCTGTACCGAATCAAACACGAATCTCACCAGGAAACCGGCGACAAATGGTGCATCTACCCGATGTACGATTTCAGCCACCCCATTTCCGACTCTCTCGAGGAAATTACGCACTCGCTATGTACGCTGGAGTTCGAGGACCACCGACCCTTTTACGACTGGACGATCGAAAAATTGTTGCCAACGGGATTGATTACCGCCAAGCCACGACAAATCGAATTCAGCAGGCTGAACATCCAAAACACCGTCTTGTCGAAGCGAAAATTGATTCAGCTCGTCGAACAGAATCATGTGAACGGCTGGGACGACCCACGGATGCCAACCTTGTCGGGAATGAGACGGAGGGGTGTGCCACCATCGGCCCTTCGCCTCTTTTGCGAACGCGTCGGAATCTCGAAGACCGACTCCAATATTGCCTTTTCGGCACTGGAGGAATGCGTTCGTTTGAAAATGGACGATGCGTGCGAGCGAGCCTTTTGTGTTCTGAAACCACTCAAGGTGACCCTGACCAACTGGGAGGGAGACGCAGATGGCAACGATCTGGAACAGTTCACGTCTCCGCGACACCCAAAGATTGCAGAAATGGGGGACCGAACCATTCCGTTTGGAAAAGATTTGTACATCGAGAGAAGCGACTTTTTTGATTTGGAAGGACCCGAGGGCGAAAAGAACGGAGGCCGGGTTCCCAAGGGATACAAGAGGCTGCTTCCCGGGAAGATGGCACGCTTGCGTTACGCGTATGTCATTCAGTGCGACGAGGTGATCCGAGATCCCGAAACACAGGAACCGATCGAACTGAAGTGCTCATACTTCCCAGACACCCGGGCGGGTGTCACCCCCGAAGGGATGCAAAGAGTGAAAGGAATCATCCACTGGGTCGAGGGAACTACCGGAGTCAAGTGCAAAATCAACCAATACGACCGCTTGTTCCTCACCGAAGAACCCGGAAAAGAAAGCGGTGATTACCTCAAGGACTTGAATCCGAAGTCGCTAGAAAGCCTAGAAGATGTTTTCATCGAACCCAGTGTTGCGGAAGATGCCGTCAAATTGTTGAAAACGATCGACGAGAAATCCGATGCATACGCAGCTTCCCTTGCCTATCAATTCGAACGAAGTGGTTACTTCGCACTGGACAAGGAGTCGACCGGAAAGGACAACCTTGTTTTCAACCGTGTCGTCACGCTCCGGGATACGTGGGGTGCTCCGGACCAGAAGAACAACGGAAAGAATCAGAGAAACCGAGGAAACAACAACGGCGGTGGTCGTGGACGTGGCGGTCGGCAGGTCCAAGAAAAGAAGGGACCCGTGGAAGATATCCGTCGGGTTGCCTTCCGGGCGGCAACCATCATGGAGGCGGGACCCCACCCAGAGGCCGATGCTCTCTTGGTGTGCAAAGCCGACTGCGGTGACAAGGCCGAAGACGGAAGTCCTGACTACCGCACTGTTGTAGCCGGGCTTGCCGGAAAGATCCCTGTCGAAGAAATGATCGGGAAGAAGATTGTCGCGGTGACCAATTTAAAACCAGCCAAGATGAGGGGCATCGAGAGCACCGCAATGTTTCTGGCGGCATCGGATGGGGTCGAAGGCGACGACGAAAAAGTCGAGTTGTTGAACGTCCCTTCGGAGGTTCCCAACGGAGAACTGCTGTCCCTGGATGGCATGGAAACCAGCGAACCAGATGCAATGATGAAGAGCAAGGGCGCACTGAAAGCTTTTGACCGAGCAAAGGCAGGCCTGAAGGCCAACAGCGACGGAGAAGCGATGTGGGCTGATGAGAAGGAGTCTTCCCATCGACTGATGACATCGGCCGGCCCCGTGACTACTAGTTCACTTAAAGATGCTGTCATCCAATAAAATACTAGGAGATGCTATAATTGCTGTGCTGCAATTTCAGGATAGATCGATGACTCTAAAATGAATATCAATTAAAATTAGAAAATTCTATTGAAGGTAAACCCCACTTTTATGTAATACTTTTCTTAGGTGTATTTTCGGAACGTGAAAAGAAAAATTCATCTTATTTTATTTACTATGTAACCATGACTTGGGCTCGTATTCGTCACCCTCTTTGTGCATTTCGTTTACGTTTCAGTATCTTTGAATGAACACTTACAAGGATTTGTTTTACCTCGGCTTTCAAGTGGCAACGTTTTCTTGTTTTCCTGTTTGTTGTTTGTTTGTTTGTTCGCCACTCATCAGAAATCTTGGTGCGATCTGCCTTGCAACCATACACTAATGGCAATGTTAACGCTCGTCTAATAGAATCATCGGCGATCAACTTCCACCAACAAACCTATTCTTCGTTTGGCACGGTCTTGTGACGTCCCTCGACGCCCTCATGGTCAAGGCTAGCTTTTATTCGGCTGCTATTTTTGCGTGATTTGTTGCTGGCGGAATCTCTTCCTATGACAAAGGTAGAGCGTCGCTTGGTGTGTTCCAGCCCCGTGTCGTCGCCGTCCCTAAGCGCGCAAATCTCGCGCCTCAGAATTTTGTAGATGGAATCCATCGTGGGACGAGCGAGCGGTTCCGACTCCCACGACCTCTTCATAAGGATGCGGAGAGGGTTGCTCCAGGTGGGATCGATTTCGGGCCGCTCAGATCCGTAGACGACGAGTTCGGAGTGGTCCTGTCGATTCATGCCGTCGTATGGCAGATCGAGGGAGTGAATCTGCCAGAGAAGCAACCCAAAGCCGTAGACGTCAGCGGACAGATTGTAGGGTTCGCTTCGAGCGACCTCAGGGGCCATGTATCGGAGCGAACCGGTATTTCCGGACAATTCGTACAGTTCGGAACATCCTTCGCTTTTTAGGGATTCATCGAGTTCCTTCGCCAATCCGAAATCAAAGAGCTTGACGTCACCTGGGCAGAAATGGCAACGACAAAAAAATAGCAAGAAATATATCCACAAAGAGCAGAGAGGAGAACCCAAAAAGATATCGTGTGAGAACAGGCGTAGGCCGAACAACAATTTTGTCCTTGCCCGACCGTGCAATGCAGAACGCAAATATTGATTGCACCATACGCTACGAACACTCACCTCGAATGTCAAAGCCGATGTTGTCGGGCTTCAGATCTCGATAAATGATAAAGTTCGAATGCAGGTAATCGAGCGCGGCACACACATCAAAGGCGACGTGCAGCCGTTCCGCCAGAAATTCTCGGACCGTCGGCTCGACGTCTTTGCCGCTGTGGCTTTCATCGATGAGGTCGTCGTCGTATTCCCTCCAGACGTCGATCTTGTCCTCGAGGGTGCACTGCAATCGGTCCAGCAGCAAGAAATACCCTCGCTCCTCCATTCTCGCAAAACCAGAGGTTCCTGCGGCCGCCATTCCACGGACTGGAGCAGCATGCGGTTTTTAATTCAACCATTCAATTCCGAGCCGGAGATCGAATCCAAATAGTGCAACAAAACATTAGTCGGGGCGATCTTTTTAGTTCTTTCCACCAAAAACATATGCATCACATCAAACAACACAAAGACATTTCGTCTAGCAGTGGATAACGCGACATGACATTCCATTCGAGGACCGCATGAATAGAACAAAGAAAGCGACATCGCCGAAAAATTCAGAAACAAAAAATTCAACTCACGCTTGATGATGTTGGGGTGCTCGAGCGACGCAAGAAACTTGGCCTCCACAACCAGATCGGCCGCGCCCGTGATGTACCTCCCGGGATCCACAATGGTGTCGATCGAGAGGAACTTCATGGCGTACCGGCAGTTCTGCGAGGATTCCCGAAAGACGTGCTTCGCCACGAAGGCCCTGTGCTCCTGCTGCAGCGGGGAGGCGATTTTCTTGGCGTGCTCGGCCTCCTCGAGATTTTTGACGAGCTCGATGGCTTCGATCTCAAAGACGTCGTTGAAGCCCCCCGAGCCGAGAAACTCGCCCAGGATTACCTCGGAGCGCTCGAAGCGGGGTATGCACTTTTCGAGCGACGGGTTGACGATCCTGGAATACTTGGACATGTGTTTTGCGGACCGGCTCGCGGCCTTCCAGGCCTTTCGGCCGATGTGGTCGATTTCCTCGGACGTCAGATGACTGAAGGCGTCGTTGTAGCTCATTTTGGTTGGTGTTGTTGTCGTCGTTGTCTTTGTCGTCGGATTGGATTGGATCGGGTTGTTTTCTCAAGCAGTGTTGTGGATGCCGCCGCTCTTTCTAAAGTGTTTATGGTACTGTGCACCTGGAATTCTGCTTTTGAATTTGGATAGTTCTGAATCGATAGCTTGTTCGGAAGTATTCGGAGTTCGGGGTAGTTTTTGGTTTGTAAAAGTGTCTGCCGTCGTCGTCGTCGTCGGAATTATGGATCCTTACGTATCGTTCTGTACTTTCCTGTACGCAGAGGGGAAGCTCAATGAAACGAGACGTAGTATCAGCCGTACTCGTACTCGTACAAGTGGACTTATTAGGTACTGTGTGTGTGAGCTGAAAAAGTACAATAAATAAGAAGACAGTTGTTCAAGGATAAGTTTTGAGGAACTCTTCCGGCCGGTCTTTACGGTGCGTGCCCGCGTTTAGAAAGGTATGTTTCCTCGTTCGAAGGAGAAGCCAGCGTGGAGAAACGCACGAGCGACCAACAACAACCGGTTCACCCAAAAGGCATAATAATAATTCTTCCATATCTTGGTGTCGGTCATCTTGCCTACCGGTAGGTTGTCCTTTTTAGAATAGTGACCATGAAGGTATCTCAATCACTTCTACCGTACGTACGCTCAGGGGTCATAATTTAGACCCCTGCGTACGCTAACGTTCAGTCTATACTACGGTAGCCTAGGGGGCCGGCAGGCAGGCAGCGCTGCACAGCGCACCCTTACTAGCACAAGTACGATTAGGTACGTACCTACCGGTACGATGGTTCAAGATCCCAAAGTTCGCGATAGTGACCGGAGATTCGCAGTCACGTTTCTGTGGTGCGTTGCAGGTTATTATCAATCACGTTTGGGCAGGAATATTTTTATCTTTGTGACCCAAAACTTTCCGTCGATGAAAACGCACCGCATTTGCGAACACCGCCTGCTATGCTCGTGTTGTGTTTGATGGGGATGAAGTTTTCGTGACTCATTTTCGTGATTGATTCCTCCAATCAGAAATCATTCACTCGTTACGTCCATCGTTCATCGTTCATCGTTCAACGGACGGTATGTACTATGTACTTTAACTCGTACCTACAAGCCATACGTACCAATCAACAGGGGTCTATATTATGACCCCTGCCAATTACAGTAAATGGTACGAGTACTCGTACAGTCTCGTACCGGTACGAGTACGTACCGGTACGTACGTTGAACCCTTGAAATGAAGGATGGATGGAAGGAATCATGTTCACGCAAAATCCTTTCTCCGTTTTCTTGGGTAATCGTGGAATGGCAACGGCCCCGTTCTTTTCCATTCCCGTCGTCGTTGGGTAGCAGGCAGGCACGCCGTTGCGCGTCATCGATGAGAGTTCATGGAACGAGTACGTACTGTACTGTATCATGGTGCGGTGCGCAGTAGATTGGATCGGTTGACGCTGAAGTTCTGAAGGCTCTTCTTCGTATCACAGTTGGAATTGCGGATCGGATCCTTCCTACGTACGGTACTCGTACTATAGCGCCGTACCGTATCACCTACCGAACGGCGATGCCCGAAATTCCGAGAAAGGCCGACGGAAGATGTCGACGCAAACCCATAGGCTTCGGGCCATTTTGTTGTTGAAGTTGGCAACACATCCACTGTTCATCAAAAGAATGAGGGCGTGGGGATGGATGGGCATAGCAGTGCTGGTATTCCTAAGCGGAGTGAAGGGGTAGGAATGAGGCCCCGAACAATTTGGCGAGCAGAGGAAAGATAGAGAGAAATTCTGCTCGGCAAGCACAAAAGGCAACCGCCAACGCAAACATGCACAATTCGACACAAGCTCCATTCGGACCCACTCACTCACCTTTGCGAACGATTCAAGATACTGTAGAGAGTATTTCGGTATTTCCTTCGAGTCAATCAGTGCTGCACATTGCACACCATCGCCTGCCTCACTCTGCCAATCTGGTTCGACAAGCTTTCGCTCTTGCACCACACCATGATGGAAGTAGTCCATTCCCGCGCTGTTCAGGGCCCGAGTCTTGGTGGCAACAGACGCGGCATCGAGAGCGACGAACCCCAGCTTCACAAGATCAAGGCATCGCCCCCTTCCGGTCGCTCGAAAGACAAGCCAAAAGACAAGCACAAGACCAAGACCAAACCGAAAGCGAAAGCGAAAGCGAAAAAGACAACGACAACGACAACGACAACGACAACGACGTCATCCAAGCAGGAAAAGAAGAAACACAAAGCCAAGGACAAGGCCCGCAAGACCGCGAGCGGATCGGGAAGGATCCCCCCGGATCCTCCCCCCCCGGTGTCCGAGACCGGTGTTCCAGCCCCCCGCCCCGACCTGGAGAAGCAGGCCCGGGCCTTCTTCCGGCTGGCCAGGGTGGGCGACCGCAGGGAGACAAAGGGAACAAGCAGGGCCAAGAACCGCGGTCTGTTTTCCGGCCCAAAGGCGTCCGGCAAGCGGGTCTACCCCAACGTCTTTTCGGGCTCCGAAGCGATCGATTCCATGGTGGAGACCGGCCTCTCCCCGGACCGGGACCACGCGGTCCGCCTGGGAAACGAGCTGGCCACCTCCCTCGCCCTCTTTCTGGGCGCCAACGCCAGGGGCCTCCTCCCGGTCGACCAAGCCGGGAGCAAGGGAAGCCCGGCGGAGGCCACCCGGCTGCTGCTGCTGGGCGGCGACGGGAGCGGCGGGGGAGACCTTCCGCCGCCGCCCAACACGCTCTTTGTCGACGACGCCGACGCCTTTTACCGCTTCGGCCCGGGCATCCTGGGGCTCCTCGACGACCTCGACGAGTTCGACGAGAGCCAGGGGGAGACCGAGCGCGGGGTCGATCGCGATCCCGGATCCCCCCACAAGCGATCGGGCAACGCCACCGAGGAAAAGAGCTCTGGCGGCAGCCACAGCAGCGACGACCGCAAACCGAAAAAGAAAAAGAAGAGGTCCAGCACCAGCACCAGCACGAGTGCCAGCACCACCACCAGCAGCACGACTAGCACTACCAGAGGCAGCAGCAAAAAGGACAAGAAGAAAAAGAACCAGGCCACAACAGATGTTGCCGCTGCCGGCCCCTTGCCCCGAACCCCCACCCGGAGCAGCAAGGGGACCGCCGTCCTGGAGGATTTGTTTGCTCCCCACAGCCCGTGCTTTGCCGCGGCGACCTCGAAAAAGAAGAAAGCAAGGAGCGGTTCCGAAAAGAAGAAATCCGGGGCGAGCGGCGCGAGAGCCACCGCCGACGATATCCCAAAGCCGACAACGGCAGCGACGCCTCCGACGCACAACAACACGGGAGTCCTGCTCTCGATGTCCCCGTACTGGTCCAAGGACAAGAGCATCGACCCCGACCCGAGCGACACGCCTCCGGCTCCCTCTCTCGACCACGGCACCACGAGCAAGATGAAACCCACCAAGAGCGGAAAGAAGCGTGGCGGCAAGAAGAGCGGCAGCAAGAAGGACAAGAACCCCAAGAAACGCAGCGGGTCGTCCTCCAAGCGAACAATGGTTTCTACCAAGGAGCGTATGGTGGCATCGATCCAGAAACGCCTGGTTCTGACCCATCCGAGGGAGTGCGTCGCCCTGCACGGGAGGCTCCTATACGAAGTAGAGACCACCGTGTCCAGGGTGTACACGGGAGACCACGAGGTAGTCCAGTCCGTGTCCACCGGCAGTGGCAGCAGCCATTGCGACAGCGAGGACGGTGCCGACAAAATCAGGGGGGATGCGTCGGTGGGCACCGCCCCCGATTCCCTGGACGACATCATCGCCAGCAGCGCTCGCCTGCCAACAGAGGGGGACGACAACGCCTCCGCGTGGACCGAGTTCATCATGGGAACCAAGGGCGCCGCGGAAGCCAACGAGAAAGCCAAACAAAGGAGGGAAGCCGCCCTGCCGCAACTCGGAGAACACTCGGAGCCCACCACCCGCCACAAGTCGCCCAAGAAGGCAAAGAAAAAGAAGGCCGGGGCAGCCGCTCCGATCACGGAAGAGGTGGACGAGAACGAGGTGCTTCTTCTGGATTCCTGCGATCCAGAAATTGGAACGCCGAGGCCCTCCCCGAGCCCGAGATCGAGCAAGAGGAACAAGGCAGCCAGGACCAGGGCCAGGAAATTCCCGGCGATTCCATTCGTAGCCGTGGAGGACGAAGCGGCACTGGAACGAGAGCAGCAACCAAAGACGACGGCTCGCGCATGGAAGGGACCTTCTCCCCTCACGGAGGTGGCAGAGGCAGAGACGATCTCCGAGCCGGAAGAGACACCTGCCGCTGTAAAAACCGCAGAGACCCCAAAAAAGAGCAAGAAAAAGAAAAATAAAATGAAGGCAAAGGCCAGGGACAACGGAGAAACGAAGAAAGAAACCCCCACCACCTGGCTGTCACCTCCTCCCCTCGGTGGAGAAAGTTCCGAAGAAGAGACGAACTCCGGCAGCGACGAAATCGATCTCTCCGACTGGGCGATGGGCATTCGCAAGAACGAAACCGAATCGAAGCCCTATCTCGACGACGACGACGAGAGCACCAGCTATCGCAGTGGCCTCGAAAAATACACCGCGGCGAGCATCCGCAGAAACACCCACTCGGGAGCAGCCGCTGGCGAACCCCTCGATGCTTCGGACGATATTTCTGCCATCCTAGAACAAGAGCAGGAGTGGGAGCACCAGTGCCTGCAGCTCCGCAGCCCGGAAATTTCTTCCCGCGGAACCAAGCCTCCTTCCGGAAGCTTCAAGAGCACCGCCTCCAGTTTGGAGAGCTTCCGATCCGGCGCCACTATGGATTCGAATGAGCTAGCAAGACTTCGGATGGTAAGTGGCGATAGAACTTCTCCCATAAAGAGTTCGAGTCTGCTTGGTGACGACATAGCCGAGGAAGACGAGGAGGACGAGGAACTCGTTGTCTACAGAGAGCACTATATCCGAGACGACTACGATGCAGCGGAACGAGACCGTGGAGAAAAGAACGAAGACACGGAAAACGCAGATCGCGACGGAAGCACTGCCCCCGAGTCACCTCCGAACCCGCTTCCGCCGGCAAGCTGTCACAGCAACACTAGCAGCAGCGGTCACGCCGAAAATGGCAGCTCTAGTGCCGGCAGCAGCGGCAGCAGTGGAATCATGGAAGCCATCGAGGCGGACCGATTTTTCAAACTCGCACAAAAATGCGTGAATGGCATCCGATCGATGATGCCGCCAAAACGGAAKGTGATCGAATCGACAATTCCCAACCACCAAAGCGAACCGGCACAACACGATTCAAARCCATCCCTCCCTGTGGTTAGCAATATCAGAGCCGACAATGATGTYGATCCTGCCGACCTCCAGGTAGCAAGTTACTGCGAAAGCTTCAGCGACAGCTTCGACGAGAGTTGCAACGACTTCGAAGACGACGAGGACGACGAGAGTTTTATGGAGCTCACCGTTGGAGAAGAGGGGAGCTTGTGCGACGAGGTGCCAGGCGCAGAAGCAGWCGAAGTGGTTYTCGAAGACGAAGAACAGACCTACTACGAAGAAGTCACGGTCATTTCGGAAAAGGAYCCATCGCTCAAGCACCCGAGTTGTACCCGGGCCACACCCGACGAAGGCTTCGAAGCTGCGACACCACCGAGACGCCGGCTGTCCAGGATTCAATCCGCCAAGTAYCTGCCCCCCGTACCCGAGATGGGGCCCGAGCCRGAAACGGAATCGGAGCCCGTGCCGAAGCTCCCGGAGCGCAAAACTTCGGTGTACGTCGAGGTGCACTCCATGCCGGACGACGACGATATGACCCAGATCACCATGGACGACTATTGCTTTTTTAATGCGAGCAYGAGCTCCAGAAGTTTGGATATTGTTCCGGAAGACGACTACACCATCAACAACGGCTCCTACCGTTTCAACAGCTACTTGTACCCATTGGAAGAAGAACAGGAGGTCGATCAGGAATGCGATACCAACAACGGTTCGGGTCAAACCAYAGAYCTCTCACCGGTTGTGCCATCAAATCACACGGTGAGTCSGATAAGCTTATTCTCTGAGCAGCAGCAAAAGCTACGCAAGAAACGKATGTCGTGTTCTTCTGSTTCTTCTCAGGATAACGGCGTGCGTGACGCGGAAGCCTCGCGCCAYCAAATCGATAAGATCTTGTGGGAAGATTTGTTGCACGACGATGCAGCTGTAGTACTGGAAGCCTTGGAAGTTCTAAAAAACCTTGTGGCAATGGGGGGCCAGGGTCGTTCTTATATGTTGAGACACGGCGGAGTGATGGTAATCATTGAAGCGATGGAGAAACAAGTCGAATCAGAAGCCGCTCAGTGTCTATGTTGTGGCATTTTGGAGCAGCTAGCATCTCTAGACAACGAAATAAGCTTAACCATTTTTGAACGAAATGGCATTTCCTTCGTCGAGAAATCGCTTGAGAAACATCAAGGTAGTAACCAATTGAAGGAGACTTGTGAAGCTCTTTTACCGCTGTTATCGCGTCATCAATGAAAAGTGACGACAATTATTCGCTGTATTGATGCTACTCGTAGCGTTAAAGAATAGACCGTTTGTATCTCACAAGCACATGAGAACTGCTATATACACCTTCGAGAGCACTATAAAAATATTGTTAATAGTAAAACATATACTTCTACAACTATCATTATTTCTAAAGAAAATCGATTAAAATGGTGCGTACGTACCAAGTACTGCCATATTTATGACCCCTGCGCATGTGCTATGATGTGATAGGAGCGGTACTTGGTACTTCGAGTACGTATTACAGTATGCACGGCGTACGTAATTCTGTGAAGCGCGAAAAAGAAAAACCCAAAAAATGAAACATTTTCCATGCACGCGTGCTGTGGGGCTCCCCTTGCGCATCAGAATTGCGCGCCACAAACAATTTACCTACCGTTTTTTTATCCAAATGATTTGGCGATTTTGAAAGAAAATTACCTCCCTCAAATCGCCAAACATTGATCTTTTCTTGAACCGATTGCAAAAAATTAAAATACTGTAATATCCTTGAACACCAATAGAAGAAGTACTAATCGAGATTTCGGACCGTACCGCCGCACACCATCTGTCTTTGGGTTGCTCCCTAATGCCTAATTACTCATTACGGAGTACTCAAAGAAAGATTGACAATGAGGTCGCTCAGATCGAACTTAATAAGGGTCAACATAATAGTTGCTTGTGGCCTAGTTTTTCAAGACAACGGCTTCTGTGAAGCACAGCAGATAGAGGAAGCGAATGAAAAGAATAAGAATACTTTTTCCTCTCTCCTCGCCCCGGTTTCTGCACCTTCACCTCAGGACCAACCAGCGGTGATGTTTTGGAACAATTTTCTTGCAGACGACGGCTATGACCAAAATCCTGTGCCTCCGCCAACATTCAGACCGTCAGTATATTATGAGGTACCGACAGTTTACTACGAGACACCTACCAATCCTCCGTACCCGGAAATAACATTCTATCCAGAGACGGCCAAGCCGACGCGATATCCAACACCATTTCCTACACCACAACCCACATTATTCCCAACACCACGACCAACACGACAGCCAACGATACCAAATACTATGACCATGATGCCTACCAGTCCGTATCCAACCAGAAAGCCGACGTATTTTCCAACCCCATTTCCAACGAAGGCACCGACAAACCAGCCTACTCCATACCCGACAAATAGGCCGACCCTAAAGCCTACCGCTTATCCAACCGATGGACCAACGAGAAAACCGACAGCATATCCAACATTCAAACCAACGATGCAGCCGACGCACAAACCCACTCTGATGCCAACTGATGAACCTACGAACATGCCCACATCGAGGCCCACAAATAGGCCAACACCAATGCCTACGAGAATGCCAACGCCAATGCCAACTAATGGGCCAACACCAAGGCCTACCAATATGCCAACTGAACGCCCCACATTGGCACCATCTCCTTATCCAAGCCGAAAGCCAACTCTGAAGCCTACACAATATCCAACCTTCAAGCCTACTTTCATGCCTACACCAAAACCGAGTCCAGAACCCACAATGAAACCGACAAATAAACCTACACCGCGGCCTTCGAGAATTCCGACGCCAATGCCTACTCATTATCCTACGTTTCGACCCACAAGGATGCCCACCCCATACCCAACATTCGAGCCAACGGGAACACCAACGAGAAAACCCACACCTATCCCAACAATGTATCCTACGGTTGAGCCTACTCCTTATCCGACATATCGACCAACACCGAAGCCGACACCGTATCCAACTTTCAAACCAACACTGAAACCAACTTCGTATCCAACTCGATACCCTACTACCAGACCGACTTACAAAGCAACCCCGTATCCTACTGATAGAAGGCCTACGGCATATCCAACACGATACCCAACACCTTACCCTACGCATGCAAAACCAACGCCGTATCCAACACGATACCCTACTTACAAGCCAACACAATACCCCACGTACAAGCCGTATAACTACGTATCTCAACCCTACTATCCTCCGGAACCTCCGCTTTATAATCAGCAGTATTTTCCGGGAAGATCTCCTCTTCCAGATCGATCGCCTGTTCCAGATCGATCACCTGTTCCAGTTGGATCACTACCTCCTCCCGATCGATCACCTGTTCCAGTTGGATCACTACCTCCTCCCGATCGATCACCGCCTCTCCCAGATCGTTCACCACCTACACCACATCCAACCGAAAGGAAACCAACTCAATATCCAACAGAATCAAGCTGGACGAATCCAAGTTACAGATTAGGTAGAGACAAAACTYCACGGCCTACCCCTAATCCATCAGACCGTCCTACTCCCCTTCCAACGGATCGACCTACACCACTTCCGACGGACCGACCTACTCCGCGCCCTAGTCCAAGACCCAGTGGTGATCCAACGCCTCARCCCACGCTTAGACCGAGTGCCAGACCTACAGGTGGACCAACCGAAACATCAATCAGTGAACCAGTTTCGCCGCCGACAGATCAAAATGGGCGTACAATAGATTCAACAGAGGGGCGAGTCGAAGGGAGTGGGGATGCTTTCTTTGACACAGACGTGGCAAAATTTCTGGCACAAGGGTTCAACCCACATGCAACCAAAGGAAAGGGAAAACCTACAGGTGGAAATTTCTAGGCAGTGATACAAGAGTTACGTTGCATCGTATCACCCAATCACACCATCATTCCATATTCCACTTAAAGTTATTCCAGTATAGACTGCTCCTTGCAAGTCAACGAAAGAGTAATGAGCGGTGTATCAATTGTCGGGCACAATCACCATTTCATATTCCATTCCATAATTTCATTGCAGACAGCTCCTTTTTTCCGGAAAAGTGTTGAGCAGTCGCTACCGGGAGCAAATTATGGCTCCGTATTCCATTTACAACAGATAGTGCAGACGCTCCTTCTTTTTGTAGAGAAAGTGAGCAGTCGCAACATAGAGAAATCATATTTTGAATGAGTTGGGATCAAAGTTTGGTTTGAATCCATCTCCCAGGGGAGGGAGAAGGGCATTTTGACTACACTACTCATTAAATATATTTTATTCAATAATCATATTGTTTATCCATCAATTTAGAAGTACTTGCATGCTTAGATTTGAAATACATTGAACTACATAGGAAGGATGATTGGGTTTCAATCTTGAAAGGAATACCTTCAATACTTTGATGGRAACTTGCAAACATGCTGAAGGAAGTACCGCAATGACTAAGTTGTGTCAATACGTACCACCAATGCCTCGTATTCATACATGCATACCGGTACGAAAATACGAAAATTCCTACCGTATCATCAGTCATCAGTTTGGTGTATCGTAAAAAAGTACGTAAGTGATAGTACTATTATTTTCGTACTTTATCCTACGTGCGTGTAGCAAAAACTACACGTACCATAGTATAGCTTAGTACGAGGAAGTGCTGTACAAAGTGCAACAACGGACGATGACATCATTTTTCGAATCTCAAATCTCAAATTTTTATTGCATCTTCCATCCGTAGATCCCTGATTGAAATWAAAAAAATACAGTATCATGAACGATCAAAAGCACCGCGGCATGGTACAATATTCATCATCAAGCATCATGGGATCATTCTCCAGACGAACGCGAATTTGTGTTGTCGGCCTCCTGTTTGCTTCGGGTCGCAATGCCGAGGCACTGCAGAACCTTTTCAATGCTATACAGGGGGGAGGCAGTTCGGCTCCTGCCCCACTCTGCAAACGAGTGGACGTTGGCACACTTTCCGTCTCGCCAATGGGACTAGGCACTCTGAACCTACCTCTTGACAAGGAAGTTGACGATGACGCAAATGATGTATTGAAAGCGGCGGTGGAATGCGACATCAACTTTGTAGACACCGCAGAGGCGGTAAGTTCTTGTTTGCATTATGTTGGAGATAGGATGAGTTGAGTCGATCGAACAGCTTGGCCTTAGTTGCCATTCGTTGGGGAAAATTGATGTTCTAAGAATATTGCATTTCTGTGGTTTCAACTGATTGAACGAATCATCCACCCAGTACGGTTTTGGAAAATCAGAAACACTACTGAAAAATGCATGCGACGGTTCAAAGCTGACGATTGGATCCGATACCGGAAGCTCAGGCAGCATTGCCGCAGCCACAAAGTTTGCCCCCGTCCCGTGGAGGACGGAAAGCCAAACGGTGGTGGATGCCTGCAAAGCATCGGCATCGAGACTGGGAGTGGAACAAATACCGCTCTACCAGATTCACTTTCCAGATATCATCCAGCCCTTGAAGGCATTCGGGAGGGAGAACAGAAAAGACGAACTCTACTGGGAGGGCCTCGCCGAGTGCTACCAATCGGGATTGGCCGCGAATGTAGGGGTTTCAAACTACGGCCCAGAAACACTGCTTCGGGCCCAAGACGCGTTGTCGAAGAAAGGGGTCCCAATTGTTTCCAACCAGATCAATCTATCGCTTCTCCACTACCGAAGCTCCGAAAAGACGCTGAAGATATGCGATGAGCTTGGCATCAAGGTCCTGGCGTATTTTCCTCTTGCGAACGGGCTCTTGGCAGGGAAATACTCCATCGATTCACCTCCATCATTCCCGAAATCGCTGACAATGAAGAAATATTATGAAGACGCCGAACCCGTCTTGGTCGTTATGAGACGAATTGCTGCTGAACGAAACAAAACGGTCGCACAGGTTGCGATCAACTGGGTAATGATGAAGGGAGCAATCCCAATTCCCGGTGCTAGAAATTCGGATATGGCACGAGACAACTTTGGTTCCATGGGATGGGCCCTTTCTCCCACGGAAGTGGCCGAACTAGAAATGGTGGCATCGAAGACAGGAGAATTCAGCAACGGTGGTTTTGAGCTGGTCTAAAACAAGATTAATTGAGAGCATAGGCAACAAGTTTGGAAAACAAAGACTTCTACCGTACAAGAATTCTGCAACAGTATGTTCGTAGTGTATAGTTTGAAGAAAATTAGACTTTGTGTAATGATCGTAGCTATCGTCCGGTGTCATTTTGCTTTCTGATGGTTCCATCCTCAAGTTGCTCCAGTTATTTCTGGGAGCCATTTTTTTTCTCGGCTGCTCCTCGCTTCAAAACAGCCACTCATTGCATAACCCCGATCTCGATTTCGATGCGCTGACGCCGCATTACCTCTTCTGTGGAATTATACGCGATGACCATCCATTGGAATACMGGACTGGTCTCCACTAACCCGTTCTATTCTATTTCTAGGACCTTCATGCTGCACGTTCCCTCGTAAGCATAGCCATTGCCGTATTTGTTGTAACCTTCCGGTTTTGGGGTCCCGAGAGAACCAACCTGTCTCACGCCGCTTTCATTTCGTACGCTCAAGTGACAAATACTTACCTCGTCCTCCGGATGTTTCCCAGGCCCAGGATGTTCTTACTTATTTCTCCCATCGTCTAAGATATCATTTGATGTTTGCTGTACGATGATGCTATTATGGAATATTTAACAATTACTGTGGCTGATTTGATATTCTGTAAWTATTGTATTCATGAAAAGGTGAAATATACGTGATGAGAATGGTTGATCCATTATTTATGAGATGATCCTTCCACGCAAGAAGGGACACGTTACTGATAAAAATTATTACCGTCATCTCCTTCGCCGCTAATGCTACCTTCCTCTTGTGAATCAGAACCCACATTCTTCGGGATAAGCCTTCCTCCATGCATCAACCAAATCTCGAAATAGTTCTGGATCATGATGGTTTTTAAGCTGGTTGGGGGATTCCGCAAAACACACCACTACCGTGTCGACAGCACTCGTGACGACTCCAAACAGCACCTGGCAGCTTGCTCTTCCCAGCATTGCTCCAAAAAAGAATATGGCAATGGCCGAGGAAAGAGCACCAGTGAGATCTAGCACAAAGAATCCTAACACCACACCGAAAAGGCCTGCAAGGAGGCCGATCAACAAGGACATCATTGAAAGAGATCGAACCACAAGCTGGTCGTTGAGAATCACGCTCCAGCCACGTTCTCGAAAGAGCGTTGTCACTTTCTTGCCTGCAGACCAATAGTCGTAACCGTACAATCCAACATAGACAAAGGCCCATGAATTGAAGTATTCCATCATAAATTCCATTTTTTCTACCAAAAACTCCAACAGGCAAAACAAAAAGTCGGAGGTATTTGGCTGGTCCCTTCCTCGTAATCTCTGTTCGTTTCTGTTTTTTCTTCCGCACCGAACAATCAAGTGCAAGACCTGTAGAATTCCCACTAACAAACTTCCAAAACAAATGCTTCCAAAACTGTAGAAACTGCTGCGAAACCAGGAATCGAAAATAGCGGGGCTGCACCCACAATGTCCGGGGCGTCGTTGAATTCGCTGTTCCGGATCGAACCACCACGTTCCAACCACGCCGGCAATGGTGGTGTGAAAGATGTTGTTTAGTACCTGGTTGGTCCAGCATAAGCTCAAGATCATAACGAAAGCCACAACATAGCCCTGCGTGGACACACGGTCGTTGCTATCTTGCACCCAGAAAGTATGATATTCTACGATCTCGGTTACCGCAGCGAACCAGAGCAATACCCATATGTAGGCTTTGATGGAAACTGCATACGCTAGAATCCACAAGCCATGGTTGTCGCCGATGGCCGATAGAGCGATCTTCAGGTTTGCCGCAGCGAAAGGAATCTTGTTCCAAACCATGAATGCAAAGTAGATTCCCATAACCGACATAATGAAACTAAAAAATGCAACTGGGACGTTGAAGGTCACCAACGAAACGACTGCGGTTACAAACAACGAAATTGGTGGCAGCACCAAGCTAATCTGAATCAGCATTGATGCGAATGCGCCAAGAAGAATGTTGATTAAGATGGAAGAAAGAACCATGGTTGACCCCACAAGAGTGACGAAAAACAAAATCGTCTTCCTATCGATGTTGTCGGGAACGTTTTCGGAGCTGCAACAACATGGCACAGAATGCGAGGACAGAAGGTTGAGTATCTAGAGCGTTATTATCAAACCTGGCGAACATTACGGTGCTCCCACTTACTAGTCCTTGATCATGTTTTGGATCCCCATAACGGAGAGCACAAGAACACCCACTAGCTGCAACAGAAAGATAATCCCCCAGAAGCAATCCCGGAACCCTTCTGGTTGGGCTTCACCGTGGTCCCACTCGCTTTCGTCGAATTCGATTGGTCCCGCAAAAATAGGGGCTTCCAAATTAGCATTGCTATCATCGACAGGAAGTGCATCTGGGATGTCCTCGGTATTCTCGTCTATGGCAAGGACCAAAATTCAAATTGTGGAGTGTTTTTGGACAGAAATCAGCGGTTCCATATTTTTTATTTTGTTCGTTGTTTACGATCACGGTAGAAAAATGTTTTCACTTACCTAGCGAAACTACCTGTGGCAAGAGAGGTTCCTGTAGAGAATCYAATCCGTCCTCAACTGCATTCGTGCTATCACCCGTTGCTTCGGTGACTGCAGTAGCGAACACTGTATCCGTCGTCATTGGTTCGGCTGGGCCGCCCATCGTTCTTTCTTTCARTTTTATTAGGAAGTGATTGTAAACTGCGTACTATTCCTTTGTTTTGATATTGTTTTGCACTGTATTTCACTTCCAAGATGGTCACGAGCTTAAGTCGCCAAGAGGATCACAGTAGTAAATCCCTATGGGCTGAGAGACGAAAAGGGATGGGAGGAAGATTTCGTGTTGTACAGTACTCTTCCTACGATACGCTACGAGTTTGTGCAGGTGTGTATGCACCCTCCCGTGAAGCAAGAACAGAACGCTTTGATGCAAAATGCAAGGCAAAATCCAGCATGTCATCTTACCATTCCACGACTCAACATTACGACGAGTTTCGGTTTACAACCCTCGAAGAACATCGTTAATCACTACGGTACTAGAAGTACGTACGGTATGGTACAATCAGTAAGGTATCTGATGCAGCAATGGTAATACATACAAAAGATATGAATACAAGGTAGTAAACTAAAGTATGCTACGGTACGCACGGTAATTTACTTCCTTGCATTCGGTCGATAGGGAAATTAGTACCGTACGATACCTTCATTACAGCATTGCGATTACTAGCACTAGTACTATTAGTAGAACCGTGCAGAATGAGATGTGGCTGAGGAACAAGAATGCATGCAAGAAGCCTGTGATGAGAGCAATGGAAGCACAGCATAGCAGCAGCAAGAGTAACTACTGTAAGAGCCTACTACTACTACTAATGAAAGAGGATACGAGCCGCAAGACAAGAATGACCACGATTTGAAAAGACGGAAGAGACAAAACAATTTGGATCGTTGATCAAATTGAATGTGATAGCTTGTATAGCCCGCGTATTATATTCATTGGTGCCCATTGAAGACATGATTTTTACATCAAAGTCACTTTTCACGAAATCACRCCATCCTTGGATTCATTCCGGGACAGTAAGAATCTTGTTGATTCATCTACAGTTGGCAGCTTGAAATAAATTTCCGGAAAAAACTTGTAACGGAAGCTTTTGTATACTTTCAGTGGAATTTCTTAATTTGAATTTTTTACCTAMTCGTATTTGTATGCAGACACGTTTTGCAGTACATTTGTTTCATTATGTACMTTGGCGGTGGTGGTAGGTAAATCACAACGCATCGAACCAATCTATAGCTTTTATTTCGATCGTCATTTTACTGGTGAAGTCAATTTCATGGAAGACGAAAGACCGGGAGCAATCCCAGAGACGGCAGTTCTTCTATTTTGTGTTTTTAGGTGATGACAGTAGGTTCTTCGGTTCCGATGAATTCCTTGATGGCAGAAAGATCAAGGGCAACTCGRACCAATCCAGAAAGTGCCTCGGAYGCTACGGCTCCGATCTTTTCCTTTTCGTATTGTTCAATGTACATTCGAATGGTGGCACCAGAACCGGCAGTTCCCGACAGACGGAAAATAACACGAGAGCCGCAGGCCATCAAAAATCGGATTCCCTTTCCGGTGGCTTCCGAGCCGTCGACAGGGTCCGTGTAGGCGAAATCATCGGCCTTCGAGATCTCGTAGGATCCAACCTTCTTTCCGGTGTTCGCTTCGAATTCAGACTTCATCTTCGCCATCATTTCTTGGGCCTTCGACTTGTCSACACCTTCGAAATCCCATCGGCAGTAGTAGTTGCGTCCATATTTTTTCCAGTGGGCAGTAGTAATGTCTTCCACTGTCACAAGAGGTTTCGAGGCATCAGCATTCTGGGAGGCAAGGATCTGCAACCACGCCAACACAGCCCAGATACCATCCTTCTCACGGACGTGATCGGAACCAGTTCCGAAACTTTCTTCTCCGCAAATGAATGGAGTATAGTCCTTGCCCTTGTAAATGGCCTTTGAGTCCATCAAGTTTCCGAAGTACTTCCAYCCGGTAGGTGTTTCGAAGAGGTCGAAACCCATGTCCTTGGCAACAAGATCGACGGCTCCACTTGTAGGCATAGATCGRGCTACGGCTTTCAATCCACCCTGAGACTTGAAAAATGGGATCGCGTTGGCGTTGGCTGCGATAATGGCCAGGGAGTCGGAAGGACTGACGAAAAATTTGGTTCCAAGAATCATGTTGCGGTCGCCATCACCATCGGCGGCAGCTCCGAAGGAAGGAACGGCCTTGTCACCGGTATCGATGATTTCTCCCTTTCGGTTCAATCCCATAATGGCAACAAGTTCCTTGGCGTAGGTAAGATTGGGGTCGGCGTGGCCTCCGTTGAAATCGTCCTTCGGCACAGCGTTCATGCAAACATCAGCAGACTGACCGAGTTGGTTGACAAAMACTTCCGTTGCGTATGGYCCGTTGACTCCRTGCATAGAGTCGTAAATCATGGAGAAATCGGGTCGGTCRAGAAGAGCCTTGATGGCATCAAAGTCAAAGGCGGTCTTCAAAAGGTTGACGTGCGTTTCAGTGGAACTAATRACTTCGACATTGACGACGTCGGATCCTTCTACGATAGTTGTGACACCTGGCTTGGTGATGTCAATGTCGGGGAAGTCCTTGCAGATATTGTACGTCTCGATTTTGGTAGTCTTGTCGTAGATGGCGTCGGTCATTTCATCGGGGGCAGGGCCTCCGTTTTCGCAGTTGTACTTGATTCCGAAATCTTCYTCGGGACCACCAGGGTTGTGACTGGCGGTCAAGATGAATGCACCGAAGGCCTTTTGCCAGACGGGTCCCTTTTCTCGAATGGTGGCAGAGACGGCGGGTGTGCTCATCAATCCGTTTTCTCCAACCCAGATGCGCTTGACACCGTTGGCGACACCCATCTTGATGATGGTTTGGATGGCTTCAGGGTTGAAGTAACGTCCRTCTCCTCCGATGAGAAGACTTCCCTGCGAAACATCGGTTCCGCTTTCCTTGATGGAATCATAGGCAGCCTGGACGAAGTTCTCCAAATAGTTAGGAGTCATGAACTCCTTTGTCTTCTTTCGGAGGCCGGACGTTCCGGGCTTCTGTCCCGCAATAGGGGCGGTCTTGACTGYTGTGGAATTCAAAGACATTTTAGATGTGGGTTTATGGTAAGAATTGTTGGGACCTTTCGTTGTCGTCCTTRTTTAATTCTATGAATTTTCGGTTTATGACCAMATARCTTAGAAGWGGTGGATCTAGTCGGATTTCCAAAAAAGGGAGAAGTTCCTGCATGTCGATGACGATTGATCCCGTGAAAGACGTTAGAAAAAGAATCCTTTTTAAGCTTTTCGAATGTCGTGCTGTTTGTCCGTCATAGGAGGATAGAGAAAAGATGTGGCGAAGACTAACACGCGATTGGCTGTGATTGTGTCTCTCGCGCAATCCCGGTCCGCGTGATTCGGATCTGTTCCATTGCTTCATTACTTCTCCTTGGTTCTACGGTGCGTTGATTTGCGTCAGGAATAAAAGTATGTTGCAATAGTACMGGTACGTACGTACGATAGACTACTGTGCTATGAGATCGTACGAAACATCRAAGAGCAGAGACTGCCTATGACGTCAGTGCGACCCAATAAATTATTACGCTACATGGAAATGACGATGGAATCTAATTTTCTCTTTTTTGGCGCACCGTGAAGATTCTTATTCTTTTGTCGGATTCTATTTGCACGAAAATTATTCGATCTACGGTAGACTTAATTCTTGAGCGTTTGTTTGACTAAACAWTGACACTTGTTTCGATCCAACAATAATATTTCTCATGAAAGCTATGTTGCTGTTCTATCTTCTACAAATGTTTCGTATTTCCGCCAACCCAAACAATCGTACTCGTATACCATTATGCAATTTCATTTTAGATTTATTTTCGGGCCGATGTTGGCACCGGGCCGTAGCATATTCTGTCACCCAGCTATTTCTTGAGTAGTGGTTATCTAGATCTTTGAATATATAATTTTTTTACAGAATTTCTCTTCGAATTCACAATTGCACTGCCATGGCCCATCCGGCAACGTGCGTGTGGTGTACGGTAGCAATTGACATTGTACGTGGATCTGGATTTCTATTCCCGAGTGGATCGTTGCGTTGGCTTGGGTTGCACAACCAATCTGTTTAGGCGGACAAGTCCAACTTTCCGGTCACGACACCGGTTGGCACAGCCTTTGCTTCGCTGTCGGTGTTGACAATCTCGACATCACCGACAAATTTGGTGTCCTTRGTCATCGTAACAAGACCGGAAATCTTAAGCTTAGTGCACTCAACCAACGAAGGAATTCCTCCTTCGGTGGCCTTCTCGAGGGCTCCAACCAATTTGTATTTCTTGCTGTCAAGTGCCATGGTAGGGGCAACGCCGTTGCAGGCTGGGTTCAAAACGGGTTTGTTGTTTTCGATGATGTAAGCATCACTTCGAAGAAGCAAGAGATCGTTGCACTTCTTCACAGGGGCAAAACGGGTTCTAGGGACAACAATTGCAGTTGCACCCTTGAAGCACTCAATGGCGGCACCCATTGCGGTTTCGAGCTGGAAAACYGCCTGAGAAGAGTCGTCCTTGGGGTCGACGGTCTTCTTGTTCTTGATCATGGGYAGGGGAATGAATCCTCCATTTTCGTTGATAATTTCCTTCAACTTATCGAGGCGAATCCAGAGGTTATTGGTGTTGAAATATCTGTGCTTGTTGATGTCTTGGAAGGCGTCCTCATCCTCGTCAGCGCACATAGCAGATTCGCGAAGGATCAATTGTCCGTCGGCATTACGCTTSGCCAAGTGCCCTCCCTTCTTGTCATTGGCGGTACGTTTGCAGCACTCCATCATGAAAGGAGCATCGGTTTCTGCGAAATAAGTAAGAATGTCAAGGTCGAGACTGGCTCCCAAGTTGTCAGAGTTRGAKACAAACATGTACTTGTATCCGTCCTTGAGAAGAGCATCAAGGCGACCRGATCCCTCAAGAGCAGCGTAAAGATCTCCGTGGCCAGGAGGGCACCATTCGTTGGATGGGTCGGAAGCGCAGGTGGCGGGCTCAAGGGTTTCCTGGCAGAGCTTGGGAACCTTGTTTTGCATCATTTCGAGACCWTCCTCGGCGGCGATGTCGGGGTACTTTTCCTTGAAGAAGTTTAGAGTGTCCTCGCTGGTGGAGAAGGAGTTCATGAGCATAAATTTGACCTTCATGCCAAATTCCTTCCTCATATCGACAATTTGCTTGGCGGTCAAATCCAAGAATGTGTCATCGCCCTTAACTTTGAGAAGAGACTTGGCCTTGTCCAATCCCATACCAGTTCCGAGTCCTCCRTTGAGCTTCAACACAACGGTCTCAGCCAAAACCGACGTGTTCTTTTCGCTGTTGAAAGATTCGGCATCGACAAGATCGGGAGCGGGGGAAATCGTAGATTCGGGGATCATACCGGTGTTTCCTGATACAAGTGAGTCAAAGGTGGACTCGAACGCAGAGATAGCCGAGCTGGCAATTTTCTCTGCCTCCATTTTGGCCTGTGAGGACATAATTTATTGCCATCGATTTTTTGAAGAAGGCACAAAATAAAAATAATCAATGAGATTCCAAGCTTCAAATTACGTGAAAATCAATTAGATGGGACCAGCGATCGGTCCATTCCTTTTCGTTTGAGCGCCGATATTCCTGGCTTTCTTTAGTGCAGGGTCTAGGYCAAAAATCCTCGAAAACCAAAAGATTCGTCCGTGATCTGCAAATGTATCCAGAAATTCTTCAAGCTATCCATTGAAGTTAAATTGCTTCTCCCGACGATTCCTTTCAGATCCTTGTTACTTACGCGAACACTGTCGAAAGAAGGCATCTTGTATTGTTTGCTTGTTGCTATTGTTCTTGGTTTGATTGACGAACTTTTGATCTTTGTGTCGACCGACATTAATTTTGTGACCGGTATGGGAATCCTTTTTTTTTCTGAGCCATGCGGCGTGCTTGGGTCATTCGCGTATCGCAACATCTTTTCGAAATCATAGACATCGAGTTGGACATTCCACTTGCGTCATTCCAAAATTCAGACCAATCGAATCACGCATCATCAGAACCGCATTCGGGTCCGATTCGATTCAGTCATGCTCTCACCACGGCAGAAAAAAGTCGACGCAATTTCAACGCGAGGGAAAATCGAAAGCATGCGTTGTGTCGAGTTTTGCGTTGCGTTTTCGAATACGATCAAATTTTGCGGTTGAGGTAGTCGAACTAGTCGAATTGTTTCTAGGCTTCACCGCGCCAAGCACCAAAACCATGGGAGTGCGCGAGCGCTTGCTTCCTTGACTTCATCAAAGCAAAAACAGGTTGCGAAAAGCACCTATTGCCACCGTCTGCACTTTTTCGTACAACAAACCTCGATGCATTTCCAATCGAAATAGCATCTCCTGTTTAACTCATACCGCGYTGATAGTATTTGTTGCGTATCGTTATTCTTTCCTGATCCTAGCAAAACTTAGATATAATTCCCCCAGTAATACTTGTGTTTTCCTTTTTCTTGTTCTCATTGCTCGTCTTGAGTCTGTCTGCAAAATCGTCACTCATGTTGGATTTGTTCGTGTTCGCATTTTCGTTATACTCTGTGGTAGCAAGAGAGATGGCAATGACTCGGTGTTTAATAATAAAATTRAGGTGGTATTAGTAGTAAGAATACATTGTTGTGTACTATACTAGTACTACTTCTTCTTCTTTGCCACTAGTACTGCTACTGGATATGGTGTTGAATAATTCACTGTTGGGCTTATGGTGGTGGTGTTCCTCTTTGTTATTCTTATTTATTGCTCACCACCATTCAATAATATTAAAATGCTGATACCATCAACAACAATATCCTCTACTACTACTGGTACTAGTAGTAGCACTAGTAGCACCACCAGCAACAAGTAGCAGTAGTTGAATGATGATCTCCTCCAGCACCAAAGGAGAGATAGAACTACTACTAGTACTAGTAGTAGTGCTAGTAGTAGTCACCACTCACCAAAAACAAAGAAGATAATAATGGGATTTTTAAAAAAATATTATTATTTATCCTCAGTGGCGAGTAGTACTTGAAGCAGTATTTGGAGATGATGAAGTATCACAAGAATGTGGATGGATTATCCGCCACCTGAGCCACAAGTTTCATTTTTTGTGTGCAAATGCCAGGGTGCTTCCGAGAAGAGTTTCGATGGGCAAGTAAAATAGAATGTACGGGAAAGTAAAATTATCTTTCATTTTTTCATTGGAAATCTTGTTAGRAATTGTTGAACACAGCTCTTATCCTGAAAAAATGTGTGGAAAATAATTTATTTTATCTCGGCSCCTCCATGAATATATTGGGCGCGCTCTTTTTCAACAAGACGGCATTGAGTCTTTCCATCAAGACCGCASTGCGGTATCGTACGGTACTTTACGGTACTGTACGGTAGGGGATATCGCTTCGCTTGATAACTCATGGTGAACAATCCAATTCTATCGCATCATTCAAAACAGACGTGCACCGTTTGTCCTCCGAATTGTCGAAATCCGAGTTACGGCTGTACGACATTGAAAGACATTGCTGCCGTTTTGAAACTGCAACCCCATTGAGATTTGGCTTGGACACTAAATCGTCATGCAGACATCAGATAAATTCGCCGCTGCACTGGCGGAACCAAACCTCAGCATGACAAATGCAACGGAGACCAATGACACAGCCGATGGCAAGGATAGCTCTAGCCCARCCCCSACCAGTAGAATTCAGAGCATGAGCGTGATAAAGCCAAAACCRAACCCTGACTCTGCTGGACTGGTTACAACAGAGTCTTCCAATCTGTCCAAAAGAAAATCCCCAGAGGCGATTGCGGCTAGWRGCGGCGGGAATGCCGAGGTGATCGCAAAGAAACTGAAAAAAGAAACGTCGATMTTGCAAAAACCTCCGATACCATCGTTTYCAATGCCCCCTGGACAGCAGCAGCAACAACAAGAATCCAACAAGACCAAACCAACGGAAAAACATGGTTCTCCTTCGAAAACAGAAGAGACAAGGACCAGTGGCATACCGGAGAGCAATGGGAGCAAAGAGTTTGTTACAATAAGTATTGGCCCTACGAAAAAGGCGAATCAAAGCGTCGCTGCTGACGGCAAAACACCTTCTTATTCAAAGAAAGATGAGAASCAGAGCGACGACGAAATTGTGACCCAGTATACCGAATTTGAACCGCTCAAGGGACCGAACGAAGTTYGTCCACTGACATCCCTGGACACAACGGAACGGATCCAGCTAGAGAAGCTTTTTGGATTCGACAAACGAAAAGACGATAGCAATACGTGGGACGAAGATTGGTTTGGAGTTCTCGCTTTGTGCCATAAGGAGGTTCCGAATCCCGATGGACGGGTGGCAGAGCGACAGAAGGAACGTTCTCTCCTGGAGTGGGTGGGGCTCAACACGGAAGCGACAGACTCCAAGAAAAACGGCTCTTCAAACAWAAGCMTCAGGCTTCTATTCAACTTGCTTAGACACTTRTATCACCTAAAGAAGCTACCCGAACAGGCCAAATTAATTCTGGCCAACATCGATCGAAAGGATCCCAAGAGTATAGGTGACGCGATTCACAGGCTCTCGATCGATCCCGTCGTTCTGCGGCAAGATGGATGGATCACGAAGAAAGCCAAGGAACCACAAGGCGCATCCGGTGGTGCCTACCGGATCGGGGAGCGGATATTTTGGGAGGGGTACGCGGGTGTCGTGATTGCCTTTATCCACGACGATGACTTAGGGGATCTGTGGAAGGCGATATGGGTCGAGGACCTCATGACCTTTGACCTAGAGCTGGAGGAGCTTGAGGAMTCTAGGAAGAAATAYGAGCGCAAAAAGGCTGCATCGAAYARGAAGAAAGAGGCCGCGAAAGCAGCCGCTCCGAAGGCAACCTTTCACGTCGAGGGCATCGAGCACGGYATCGTGATGGCGGCGTCGTATGCACGTGGTGCTAGGCACGGAGTCTACTGGCCCGCCCGGGTGATGCACGCCTCCGAGCTCTCGGGCAACACGAGCCGACGGAACAAACACAAGAAGAAGATCGACGTGGTCTTTCTTGCCCCTTACTGGAACTCCACCTCGGCATCGGGTGGAAGCAGCCGCTTGGAACCCCTCTCGATGGCGCGAAAYGGAGAAGGACTCTTTCGGTCCGGTGCCTTGTTTGAGGTCGAGACGATCGATGCAAACGAACTTTGCGTGCAAAGCTATCCTTACGATGCGAAAACGGGGCTGGATATGGACGAGCTGCGATCCACCTTCAAATTCATGGGTCTGCCAAAGGCCGCGTTTCCGAGATATTTGGACAGCCAGAGATTGGCTTTGGGGTTCAAAACGTTTTCCCAGACCGAACTTAAATCGACCCGCGCCTCCGACAGCGATCAAACTACTGCCGGTCTGCTGGAGGGGCACCCGCTAGCGGTTCAAACCGCTCTCTTTCCGACATCGGTTATCCAGCTTCCGTTTTCTCACATACTGTCCCAGCTACCCCACCACGAAAAACAATCAAGCCTGGAAACCTCCGCAGTAGAGCCAGCACTTCGCTTCGACAAGATTCTAGGCTCGATGAAACCGCCGAGCTGTTGGGGATTAGGACAGAGCGTTGCATTGCAAACCAAGGATACCCCCCAGCCAAAATCGATGATGGGATCTCCGATCACCTTCCTCGACAAGAACGTCGGGAATACCGGTGACCCTTACAACGTGGGAAGATTTCTGCACGGTCTCTTATCGCTGCAACGTTTCTTGTCGGAAAAATCTGCGACGAGTGGGATGCTGAGAAACAGCCTAAGCGAAGTGGTGGGTGCCTTTGCGAAGAAGTCTGGGTTGAAGGAGCTGCAATCTGACGGGAATAAGAATTACATGAAATTTTTGAACAGGACTTGGGTTGTGGTAAAGGTAAGATTCAAAATCACTACTAAGTATGCAATWWTGTAATGTTTGATTCAACTTATGGCTCACAAATTCAAAACTATTACCTTCATGACACCAGTCGAAGGGAGAGACACTGATTCTTGCTGCTGYCAAAGACCAAAAACATTTGCCGTACATTCTCAAAGATTGGCGGCGCTGCTGCGAGAGAATTTATAAGCACATCAACGTAGCACTAGGAACCAACGGAGCATCGTATGTGATCACGGATAGCCGCTGTAATCTCCACCTTACTTCGAGTGAATGCTTCGAGAGGGCCGTGCGGCTGCCTGCTGCTTTGAAAGGAGTAAAACAAGCGACGGGAAATATCAAGTTAGTCAATACAATCGATGATGCCTACCTGAATCTTGCCGAAAACGAGGTCATCGTAAGGGCACATAAAATGTCTTATATACAAAGGATAAAGAAAAAATGCATGGCCGCACCAGAAGACGATGTGGTCGCCTTGACTGACGATAGCGACGGTAATGGAGGGGAGGACACAAGTACGTCATTTAATTTGTTTGCATGCAGTTTTGCAAATGTTTTGATATCATCATTGAACAATTTTCTTACAACTATTTTCATCGTTACGAAGAGGGATCAAAGGGGAGCTGGAATGCCGCTCTATCGGGTGTTGGAGCTGCAATAAAAGGGGCAGATATGATCATGAACGGAGAATGTCTTAACGTTTTCTGCGCAACTCGACCTCCGGGACACCACGCCGGTCGAGAACTGCACCCAATGAAAGCTGTTTCGAACGGGTTTTGTATTCTAAACAGTGCAGCGTGTGCTGCTCTTTACGCAACAGCTCCAATATCAGATGGTGGTCTTGGACTCTCCAGGGTTTGCATCATCGACATTGATGTGCACCACGGAAACGGAACCCAAGATATACTTTGCTCCACGTATGACCCAAGATTTCTTTACGTGTCAACACATGCAGGTGGCGCCGATATTAATGGGGTTGACATGGAAGACGATGATATGGATCAGTTCGAACACCATCTCGGGGGAGGCGATGAAAAAAAAGGGATTTTCCCGGGCAGATGCGGCGACTATAGTCCCCACAAGGGAGTCCTGAATATCCCACTAGGTGGGAGGGTTACGCCCCACGCTTTGGGAACCGCTCTGGTAACGAAAGTGAACCCTGCGGTCGAAACATTCAATCCGGAACTAATTATTATCTCGGCTGGGTTTGATGCACACAAAAACGATCCATTGAACATGGGTGGACTCACCGCAGAAAACTTTGGTACGCTCACTGAAGTCATCTGCAAACTAGCATACAAGTGTTGTAGTGGCAGGGTRCTGAGTGTCTTGGAAGGCGGATACGGCGTTCCTTGTTGTCGTCCCCAGAACTTCGCTTCGAGGGAAGGAACCTCGGGTAGTTTTGGCCCCCATTCGCAGCACCTCAAAGCAGACAAGGATTTGACCGAGGCAAAGTCAGAAAAGAAATTCGTGGAGCTGAAGTGCCTGGAATTGGGTTCGGAGCTACCACCTTCAATGACGGATGTGATCTCGTCGTATGCGCTACAGAAGCGACTCAATAGATGCCACGAAGAAGGGTTCGTGCACTGCGTAAAAGAGCACGTTAGTGCACTGGCACGTTGCAACATGGTGCAGCGATAATGCTAAGAAAGCAAGGGGGTTAGAATTTCGATCATCAAACTACTTTGAACTAATCTGATTCAATACTTCGTAAGGATACAACACTCTTCCTATCGAACATATTACTATCTTCTTTCCCTAGAATCTAATTTATCATCAAAAAAGTCCGTTCAACAATCAGTGGCACGGTATCTACTCTACAGGACCTCGGGAACCACTGCCTCCTCTTCGTCATCGTCGTCCTTCTTTTCTTCGGCAGGCTTCTCTTCGGCCTCTACCTCTGCATCCGCGGTTCCATCGGCGGAAGCTTGCGTATTCATCAATCCCATGACTCTCTTGGCAAAGCCAGCCATGTCTTCGATGTCGTATCCCGAGGTCATTCCTGCCACGTCGTATATGAGTCGTGCAAAGTCTTCGGTTTCTTGTGCCACCTTGTCTTCCTTCACCATTCGGGCAAGATCCTTGACAATAGGGTGGTTAGGGTTGATTTCCATGCAAACCTTATTCATACTATCCATGCCACTTAGTTCCTGGCCACTCGCAACGGTTTGGGCCTTCATGTAGCGCTGCATGCTGGGGCTCATTCCGTAGGCTCCCTGCACCAAGGCAGCGGGCGAATCAGTGAGCAAATCGGAAACGGATACCTTCTCGACTTCGTCGTTCAGGATGGTCTCGAGGTAGTTAATAACGTCAACGTTTTCGCGGTTGAGCTCTTCCTTCTTCTTGGTGGCTTCTTCGTCGTCGTCGTCGAGTTTGAGGGTGTCCTTTCCGGCGTCCTTGATGTCGTAGTCTCCGAATTTTGTCAACGATTCGAACATGATCTCGTCGAGCGGTTCGGTGGCGTAGAGAACATCGAAGCCCTTGCCCTTGAGTTTTTCGGCAACGGGCGACATTGCGGCTCGCTCCTTGCCCTCTCCGGTTACATAATAGATAGCTTTCTGGTTCTCGGGCATTTTGGCAACGTAGTCCTTGAGGCTGGTGTATTCCTCACCGGAGGAGGCACTGAAGAATCTGAGGTATTCCGCAATTTCGTTTCGGTTCTTGTCGTCCTCGATGATTCCTACCTTCAGGTATTTTCCGAAGTTGTTCCAGAACATCTGCGAACAGAYAATTGGTCGGTGAAAATTAAAAAAAGATGGTTTGGGTGAGGAGAACTGCAGTGGAAAATAACGGTTGATGGTCCAATCGATACGAACAACAAAATGTCCAAAGAACACACACAAAGCGCGCTGCGATGGATGTTTGCACCGAACGAATGATCGTACTTACGATGTAATTGGCACCCTCGTCGGTSTCATCCTCGGAAATGTCCCGGATCATATCAAGGGACTTGCGGACGAGACGCTTGTTGATGATGGAGAGGACCTTGGACTTTTGCAAAATCTCACGGCTCACGTTGAGCGGGAGGTCGTCGGAATCGACCACTCCCTTGATGAACTTRAGCCAGCGGGGCATCARATCCTGGAACTGGTCGTTGATGAAGACGCGCTTCACGTAGAGTCGGATGTTGCGGGCGTTTTCGTCGAACATGTCCTTGGAAAGTTCAAAAGGGAGCATGCCGGGGACGTAGAGGATGGCCTTGCACTCTACCTGACCCTCCAGGACAAAGTGGGTAGACTTCATGGGATCGTCGTAGCTGGACTTGAAGGCGGTCTTGTAGAACTCCTTGTATTCCTCCTCCGTKACGTCCCGTGGGGATCGGAGCCAGACCGGCTTTTGGTTGTTGACAGTTTCGTATCCCTCGATGGTTTCGGGGACGGTTTTCATTTTGGGTTCCTCGCCCTCGGCAAGGTCCTTGTTGGCCTCCTCGTCGGGGACCTGCTTGTATTCCGTCTTTTCCTTCCATACGGAAATGGGGAACTCGATGAATTCGGAATAACGGTTCAGCAATTCTTCCATCTTTGACGCCTCGAGGTAGGCCGAGGCGTCCTCCTTGAGCTGCAGAATGAGCTTGGTTCCCGAGGAACCCTCGATCTCRTCGGGGCTGGCGGAAGCGATCGAGTAGTTGGAATCGGCCTCGGATTCCCACTTGTAGGCCTTGCTGCTGTCCTGCATGGACTTGGTGACTACCGTGACCTTGTCGGCCACCAGATAGGCGGAATAGAAACCGACACCGAACTGCCCGATCAGGTTGACGTCGGCGTTKCCATCCCCGAGGGCCTGGACAAAGGCCCGTGTTCCGGACTGKGCGATCTTTCCGAGGTTGTTGATGATTTCGTCCTTTGTCATGCCCACTCCGGAATCCTCGATGGTGACGGTGTTGGCGCTCTCGTCGCACTTGATTTTGATCGACGGAGGGGCCTCCTCGGAGTCTTCCGTGATCGACAGGAACCGCTTCTTGTCGCAGGCATCGGCTGCGTTGGAAATCAGTTCCCGTAGGAAAATATCGCGATCGGAATACAACGAATTGATGATCAGATCCATAACCCGTCCGACATCGCTCGTGAATCTGTATTTTTTTAGTTGGTTGTTGTTTATTTCAAAGGATTTCGTGATCGATGATTCGTTGATTGAATTGGTTTCAYACCGTGCAATCGAATCAATTTGGTTGGGGAGTAAGTGGACAGAACAACCACAGCGGCAAAGAAAACGAAACGTCGAAAGAAAAAAGTAAGAGGATATGCATACAATATGCCCGTCGTCTCAAGAAACGACGACAACCCCGACCGAGGATCAAAATAGCAATCGCTTGCAAAGCACGACGTACTCGAAGGTTTCGGCGTCTTCCGTGGCGGTGGATTTCAGAAAGGTTGCCGGTCGTTGAAACAGCGCATTATTCGAGTATTGGTTGTTGCTGGCGACGACGGACTTGGCCGGTCTCGAGAGGGGAGCAAAGGCGGTGGTGCCGGTGGTAGCGATTGCGGCGAGGGCGAGAACGGTCGATGCTGAGAACTTCATGGCTGTGTTTGTTGTGTGGTGTTGTGTTGTGTCGTGTCGTGTTGTGCGCTGGATCCGATCGGATGTTTCACCTAGCTGGAAAATGAGGAGGCGATGAGGGTTGGTTGTTACCGATTGATTGATGTGGCAGGCAAGCAAGCAAGCACAGAGCGTTTCACAGAAATCGGTGCAACGAAGATATTCCTTGCTGCAGCATGCATCACACATCGGTCGGCCATCATGCCCCTACCTACGGTACAGGTACTGCTAGCCTACGTTCTTACATAACGAGCACTCGTACGCGGTACGTACTGCAGTACGTACCTCTGATTGCTAATATGTGCATTACCGTGCAGTATTTGTGGCCTTTTCTTCGAAATTCCAAACCATGATTTTACGACTGGTGGAAGTTTTTTTTCATGGCTGTCGTGATGGATGCGAAGGAAGGGATGAGACAGCACCGTTTCCCGTTGACGTCAGACGCACCGTACGCGCGAGTTGACCGAGAACCCAAAAATGGTTGTTCGACTCATTTGACTCAAATGTGTTCGGTGGTGCAGTCGCGGAGTTTGAGAGTGAGTCAAAAAAGCTGCCAGTCCATGTTTCTCTTTTGCGAATGAAGAATCGAGAGAAGAAGAAAACCATGATTGCTGCAACAAAAACCACACCAAACAGATTCCTACAAACAATTACAGTATTGCGATTGACCCTTCCCAAACAGAAACAAGGACAAAGTATCCTCTTCAACTCTACCGCGCAACTCAAAGATCATCATTAGAGAAGGGACGGAGAAAACAGCAAACGAACCGAGCAGCGGAAGAATCCAAAATCAAGTAAAACAACTAGAACTATTGCGTYATGAACGCCTSCAGAGCGATTCGCACGGCAAGGAACGTGGTGGTCCGAKCCACACGGAGCGATGCGACGAGGAGCCTGGGMTCCCTTMCCAACRGATCAAACAGTGCCCATCGCGGAATCGCCCCGCAGCCAAGCCCGAACCGGGACTGGAGCCCCCCGGCCGGAGCCCAATCCGCAGCAAGCGGGGTTTGTGTTTCTGTTTCGGTTTCCGCTCCCCGCCGCTCCATGGTCACGGTCACGCAGACAAAGACCTCCGAGGCGCCCCTGTACTCCGCTCCCCGAACCGGAGACGACGGTGCGTCCTCCTCCGAGGCACCGACCTACGTACGGAACGAGGACACCACCCTGAACGTCACGCAGGGCTGCCTGGACCAGGTCGAGCGCCTCCTGCGGCAGCGCCGGGAAAGCGAGGGCGACAACAGCAGCGACGGCAACGACGGCTACTTTCTGAGGACGTACGTCGATGCCGGCGGCTGCTCCGGGTTTCAGTACCAGTTCGAGGTCGACAACGACCTGGACGAGGACGAGGACGTCGTGGTGGTCTTTGCGCTGGACGGTGGCGTCCCGAGGCCCCGGGTCGTCGTGGACGAGACCTCCATGGGCTTTCTGGAGGGCTCCACCATCGACTACGTCGTGGAAATGATCAAGTCCGCCTTTGTGGTGACGGACAACCCACAGTCCGAGTCGGCCTGTGGCTGCGGGAGCTCGTTCGCGATGAAGAACTTTGAGAAATTCGGAACGGGGGACTGAGGAAACGCCGGAACAAAAAAATGAAACAAAACCGAATCGAATCAAATCGAATGTCATGTAATAATTTGAAGTTCTAGCAATTGGAAAAGAGTCCAGTGGTGTCGACTCTCTGTCGTGCGACGCAATGGATGGATAAAATGTAAAACGCAGGAAATTCTTCGAATGGTTCTGATCGAACGAAAAATGAGTTCTCTGTGATCRTTCACAAGATCATCCCAAGTATACGCTGTCGACACGAGCAAAGGGAGTATGCTCTAATACTAGAACATAATTATTTCGTACTATCAAGATATAATGAGTTAATGGGCATCCTTTGTGCCATTATTACTATATACAGCGTGTTCTGTTTCCGCYCTTGTTTCCATCCGAATCGAATCCGGTCTCCCCTCACGACAGCTCGACACGAAAGGCATCCCTCCCTCCCCCCTGGGCCTCGTCGAGGGCTCGCTTCGACGCCTTCAGGAGGCGCTCCTGCTCCGCTTCCATTTCGGCCGTGATCCTCGGCCTCTTGGGCTTTCGTTTCCTCGTTTTCTTGCCCGGTGCCGCCCCCGCATCCGTGCGGGGGCCGCCGGGAGGGCGCACGTTCCCGTCGCAGTCCGCGGCCTTCTCCCCCTCTTCCCGTCGCTGTTGCTCGGCTTGCAGCACCAGCAGGTCCCGGGCTCGCGAGACGATTTCCTCCAGCACGAGAGCACCGGCCCCCCCGGTGGGGTTGCTCCCTTCCGGGGAATCGCCGCCGCAGTCGATCGAGCCAATGGCCCGGACCACGTCTTCCGGGGAGATGGACGGCGAGTCGACCTCCGCGAGCTCCTCCCCGACACTCTGCAGAAACGCGTTGAGGGTCTCCCGGAGCAACGCAACGGCGTTCTTTGTGAACCCCACGGGC